GGTTGGTTCATCGATTTGCTGCACATGCCACAACACATAGTCGATTTCGATTCTACCTGTTGCTGCCACTTCTACTCTGCATGCTTGCCAACGGTTCATAAGAAAGACATAAATACCTATTTTTTGGCTCGCGCATCTTTCACGAAATATAATAATAATATAAAAGCAGAAGAAAGAAAATAAAACACCATACCGCCAACAGCAGCAGCAGCACCAGTAACAACAACCGAACCAATGCGTTACTACAGTAACAACAATAGGGAAAAGTCGAAAGTGAAGAAGAAAAAATCGAATTTAAAGCGCACCCAGGCCGTACCGGTACAGAAAGGAAAAGATCAAAAGAAAACTTACACTAATGGATACGGCTAATATTAATTATTGTAATATGTATAAATTACCACTCGCCTGAATCACATCAAAGTTAAAACGCCATAAGCCAAAGAGGAAAGAAGAACCCAAACGTAACAAACCTTCACATACTTTTTTGGTCGCGCGGTTTCCGTGTGAGATGAGTAACAAAAAAGAAATCTGTGCATCGTGAATAGTATATGTGAAGCAGCAAAGAAATAAAGGAAGGCATTTTAATTTTCTCATTTCATACGAACGCATTGTCCTTGCGTTTCTGATTCCAGAATATCCATGAGAAAAAGACAAAATTCGGTCCTTTTTATTTTAACACCGATTCAAGCCACATACACATTCGAATAAAAAAAGCACTGGAATTCCTTACGTAGGTTGCTCCATAATTTTTTTTAAAATGGTACTTATAGTGTTGCCCGATGTAAACCATTGTCATATTCGTAAAGTTTGATGTTTTGGTATGTATTCGTGCCCTGAACCTTTTGTCGTACGAACGCTATTTGTATTGTTTACAGTGACTGGTAAACTGCGACTCAACAAAAAAATGAATTTTACACGTGAAGATTTTCGTAAAATGATTTACTACGATTTTCGAAGTAAATTATCTCAACAACAGTGTTTCGATCGACTTCATTTGGCCTTTGGCAATGAAGCACCAACCCTTCAGACAATTTATAACTGGTACCGAGAATTCCGTTGCGGTCGTAGTTCGCTCAAAGACGAGTTTCATACAGGTCGTCCAAAATCGGCTGTTGTGCCACAAAACATCGATGCTGTCAGAAAACTGATTATGGAAGATCGTCATGTGACCTACCGTGAGATTGAGGCATCTTTGGGCATTTCATCCCACAGCATACATACAATTTTGCATGAACATTTAGCCGTAAAAAAGATTTGCTCTCGTTGGATCCCACATAAATTGACCGATGAACAAAAAATGGCTCGTGTGAGTTGGTGTAAAGAAATGCTCAAGAAATTCAATCGTGGTGCTTCAAAAGACGTTAATAAAATCGTCACTGGTGACGAATCGTGGATATATGCCTATGAGCCCGAAACGAAACAGCAGTCGACTGTATGGGTCTTCCAAAATGAAGATAACCCAACGAAAGTTGTTCGAGCAAGAAGCACTTCGAAGCGAATGGTCGCCGGTTTTTTCGGGAGAAGTGGTCATGTGGCAACCGTTCCACTAGAGGATCGTAAGACCGTCAATTCTGATTGGTATACCACCATTTGTTTGCCCGATGTGTTTGGTGAAATAAGAAAAAACAACCACCGTCGCAAAATAATTCTTCATCACGATAATGCGAGCTCTCACACATCTTTTCAAACTACTCGATTTTTGACCGGTCAAAACATCGAACTGATGGGTCATCCACCGTACAGTCCTGACCTGGCACCCAATGACTTTTTTTTGTTCCCAAGCGTGAAGAAAAAACTACGTGGTCAACGATTTTCGACACCAGAAGAAGCAGTTGAAGCGTTCAAAACACACGTTTTGGAGATATCAGTTTCGGAGTGGCACGAATGCTATGACAAATGGTTTCATCGAATGCAAAAGTGTATCGATCATCTCGGGGAATATTTTGAAAAACAATAAAACCATTTTCGACAAAAAACAACTGTGTTATATATGTTTTTAAAAAAAATTATGGAGCAACCCTCGTACAATGAATTTCATTTTGGAATATTTCAAATTAAAGAAAAAGCCTTATGATAATGATTGCGTTTGAAAATACAATTATTATGATGAATATTGAATAAAATATAACATTGTTGCACTCAAAATGACTTCATTCAATATTTCTTGTTTGGCGAGAAAAGAGTATACCGCATCACATTGTACAATGTACATAGACAAGAGTGGTTCAAGTAATCTTGAGAGAGTGCAAATATTTTCTGTCAATCGATTGTTGTTTATACCTTGTTTATATTAAGACCAACCTGATTGTAGAAATCTGTCCGATTTCATGGCGTTTGTTTGCTTATATTAGAGAGACTATGTTTGTCGTACATTAGAGAAAAAAAGCAATATGCAAATATGTTAGCGCTTCGAAATAAATTATTCGCCGAAATTTTTTTGTTCTGCATAATATTCATAGTAACGTACGTAAATTTTCCGAATGGACCATTATCTTCTTATGTATATCTTTGTATATTTATTGAGACTATGCTGAGACAATACAAAAATTCGTTCCCAGGTTCATTCAATAAATGTTTTAACCTTTTCTGTTTCATTTTATTAGATGTTCCTTTTTTTTATCTTGATTCTCTTTGGGTTGTGCGTGTAAGTGTGTGTGTATTTGTGTATCTGTTTTGATGCATGGAAGTGTTTTTGAATCTTTTTGGCTTGATGATCTCAGTTCTACAGTTACGTGTGGTGAGTTCATCGTTGTTGTCGACAGTAGTGCATTTTGTTTGCAATACACAAAAAGTGCCGAAAATCAACAGTTCAAAATTACGGTCGATGAATGTATCGCGCCTCAGCCATCTGTATTTGGGAAATATTTGTTGTTCTTTTCTCTCTTTCGATCTCACTCTTTCGTTCATCGATTATAGGCAATTTAGAAAAACGTGTAAAAACATGCTGCGCTAACTTTAAATGAAAGAACTACACTTGATATACATAAAAGTCCCGACATAAAAGCCAATCAACCAACAAAACTAAGGTAAAAAGTCCATTTACGAATATAGCCGTGTATATTCACTCTTGCACCACACATCGAATCACCTAAATGAAAATTAAGGAGCGGTCATTGTTATGGTATTATTATTAGGTGTTTTCTCTTCTTCTGTATTTATTTGGTCGTTTTCTTTGCGCCTCTTTCTCTCTCTATCCCTCTTTCCCTTTCTTTTAAACACTTCGTGTGTGTTGTTCATCGATTGATGTGATGCTGTATATAGTCGAAAATTTGTTCTCAAACTAATTGAGATGTATTAGTTGTGAGCTGTAAAAATGAGGCGCTCCCAATCTCACTTTTTTAGTGTTATTTAATTGTTACATATTAATTTCGATATAAATTAACAAAATAACAGAATCGACAAAGATCAAGCGGCAAGAAATTTACCCTACTGACAAATTATTTACATCATGTTTTTCAAAATTTTGGAAACAAATCGATAAACATTTTTTTCTACAACTATTTTGAACTTAGAAAAATGTTGGCTTGAAAATTGTTTGAATCATTCCATTTTTTTTCACCATCTTTCAGGTATTTGGATATATTCCGGAAATGTTTGTTAGCAGGGAATATTTTCGAAGAATTAATTTTATAATTAGTTATAGTACCACAAATAACATTTGATTTGAGTTTTTTACCACATTGCAAATAAAAACCAAATGCGCATAGAATTCAATTTGTGTCATCGTCTTTTGCATTTCTGTAGAATGAGAAATGTCTAGGAAAGTCAAAATTGATCAATGTTCAATTTCATCTATCATTTTTTTCAATTTAATACAAATTGAAATGCTGAAAATGTCTTATATTTGTTGCATAATAATTGCACTAGCTGGAATACATATATAAATGTCTTCATCATAAAGAAAATTAATAAGTAAAGCAAAATTTATTTCGATCTGTTTGGTGATCGGAATTGAAAAAATGAGAGAAAGAGAGTACGTTGTGTGTGTTTCCTTCTCGGTTAAAGTTATTATTATTATTATTATTGTGGGAGAATGAGATAAAAGAAATATTACGACACTTATTGCAGAAAAATACGAATTCTGGGCCATATGATTGGCGAAAACAAAAACGCAAAGAAAACCAATATGCGAACTTAAATGGCGATGAGGCCTCACATTCTTGGTGGTAATGAATTATGTGCGGCATATTAAACAGTATATTATAGCATATGCAACGCACACACAACGATTAAATATGTTAAAGCGTTTGTATTTTGCCGGAGGTCCATCGAATTTGATGATAATCATGTTCGCTGCGCGTTGTGTTCTCTTCTGTCCATTCTCATCTTGTGTACGAAGCCGTATGTTTTTTTCCTGCACGCTTTTCGTTTTTAATTCTGTTATTTTTCGATGATTTTGATTTTGCCTTTGTTTTTGTTATTGTTGTTCGTTTTTTTTTAACGTTCGCGTTATGAATGTGCGCACTGAAAATAAAGATGTTTCGTGACTATTAAACAGTTCTTTAAGTAATGATCATTAAATCGCGCTGTGGCTTGTGATGATGCATTGTGCATCGATTTTTAAATGTATGTGTGTGTGTGTGCACCGGTTTTATCGGGGTATTCTAAGGTTCGGGTGGCTTTATTAATTTCACATTGAAAGATTCATAGCATTTCTTCGTGTGTGCAGAATGGAACGCGTTTACATTTTGTATTCTCTGTGATGAAGTGTGGTCTTTTGCCTTCCAGCCATAATAAATAAATACATTTCCTTTTTTATACCTTTTCATCAGTGTTGTTCACCATTCAATGTCTCACTTTCGCATTTTTGCGCACGGTAAACACAATTTCATTTTCGAGATCATGCAATTCATTTTTTATTATTCTATTATTATTTTTTGCAAATAACATTATTTTCAGTACAAAAACAAATACAAAAAACAGCTGAGATATTTGAAAAAAGAAAAAGAAACAATTAAACGGAGAAGGAAAATTTATTTACATAATAAATTCAAATGTTTGCTCCAATGAATTGTCCATTTTATAGTTGTCATGTAATTGCATTTTAGACAAAGTCATTTACACGTGTTAACTTCACGCCTCTCAATGCAAGTGCTGCAGGTAACCTATATTATGCAGGTATTAATAAAAGAAGAGAAATACAAAGTCTCCGACACAAAATCTTGTTAAAGAAGCTTTAAAAAAATATTGAGTTTTCACCTCACAACACCATTTAAACATGCAGCGACAATTGATTTTTTCGCGTATTATTTTGTAATCATATCCTCGATTACAACAAAGCAGATCACAACCATCAAGACCAACAGATGTTTTGTTGCACTCACGTCCAACTAAAATAGTTGTAAATAAATTAATAATAATTGTATCAAATTACTATTTGTAATTATTATTATTTTACATGTTCCAAGTGAACCAGTTTTCGGATTGAATTTGCAGAAATCAGGTGAATCGTCTGTGTAAATAAGATCATGGCGAGTTGGTTGCTTAATCGATTGAATCTCCGTCATAAAACTGTGTCCATCATTTCCAGCTATCACCTTTGCAGCACCATCAAATTTCTCCTTTAATTTCTCTCCGATCACACGAAATGGTGCCATTTTCATCCAACATGTTTTCATCGTACAGGAACCCGACAGACCGTGACATTTACTGTATTGAAAATTTGAAAAATAAACTGTTTTTCTCTCAAAAAAAACAAATAAGCATTAATTGGTATACCATTCAATTCGCATCAAACTTTTGACGGCCTATAAAATACGAGCAAATGAAAAAAAAAAAAAAATAATAATAAAATGTGATCTTTCTTAGCAGTTTGGTTTAATATTACCAATCGTCCAACATTGTTATTATGTAATTTGACTAATGTTCGAATATCGCTGAGTCGTTGATATCGTGTATCTAGAAAGTCTTTTGATTTGCGAAATCCAAACATGACATTGTCCATGCAGCCACCCCATTGCCAGTCACCTTCCGGTAATATTATATTACGGTAAATGTTGCGATTGCGTAGATATGAGTTGTGACGACGACGTTTGTGCTTTGTGAATCTGGTCAATGGTGTGGTATCTACTACATCAATATCATATCCATTGCTGTTGTCGTATTTTTTTTGTGTGGCATATTGAAGTATGTGATTCTTATCACACGAGCATTCAATAAGATCACCCATCGTGCAAGCTCGAGTAACCGTAAACACAACGCCAGCTGCTGTTATGGCACTAACAAAGCTAGTTTCCCTTGTATCTTCGATAAATCCAATTCCCAAATAGAAGCATCAAAACAAAACCATGCAATAAAATAAAAAAAAAGGAATAAATTTACAGAATGAATGTTTTATTAAGGCGATTTACGCTGTAACATTATGCTCATCGTATATTTGAATCTTTTGTTTGCCATTGCGCCTATATCGACTAAGCAATCAACAGATTTTTTTCACTCAGCGTTGAGTGTATCTGACAACTTTATTTGTAAGAGGTTTGCATAGATAAACAAATTGTTCGCACAAATTATGCTAATTTTTTTTTTAATATGTATCACAAGCAGTCGAAGAGAGTCGATCTACTTGCTTTGCTGCCACTTTGTTTTACAGTTTCCGTAATTCTACGTCGAATGGTTTTTTACACGCTTGTTTTCATAATTATTCTAATTAAATTTATTAAAACGATGATGGCACGTTTTATTCAAACGGTTTATGAGCTAAACCGATCAATCATATTCACACATACAAATCTTTAATATACGGCATTTTGCATCCTTTAACAGGCTATTATTTTTAACTGAAGAGAGCGAACAGCAACAACCAAAACAACAACAACAACAACAACTGTGCAGTAGAATAAAAACAAATAAGACATGCGTACAATGTGTGTGTGTACAAGAAAACGATCAGAATTATGTCGTTTTTCTCTTAAGGCATACAGTTTGCATAAATTCCCATTTTAATTTGCATAATAATGAGAACAGTGTATACTTATACAGCTATTACTGTCATTATTTCACATCCATTTATGATGATATACGTTGAATGATCGAAATTTGCATATTGTATCGTTTAAGTCTCTTTAAATATGGATTTCTCTTCAATGTGAAATGTATGTGTAAGAAAATGTTATACATTATATTATAAAATAATTCAATAAGTTACCAAAATCACAATGTCTGTACACAATGCAACAATCAAGCGAACACAAACAAAATATCGTTGACAAGTGGAAAACTTATATTTCATGTCATCAGTCTTTCAGTTAATCCGTCAGCATTGGATGCAGAAGCAACAGGCAAATCAATTGAGTCAATTTGTCAACGAATTTGTGCACTCGACTACGGTAATTGGCATACGAAAATTGATTCGTTGGACTCATGCCACTTTTGAATGAACAGCGAACGACATTTTTTTTGCATTGACTCAACACCATCACTCACAGCATATTCAAAACCAATGGCAACCAAATGATCGATTCTATTGCCGGCTCATCGAGACAGCTTTAAGACAGCCAAACATCAACGATCGGTGTTTGTCTCTCTCCCTCTGTGAGTAAACGAATTGATTGGCGTCTTGTCATCAATTCAATTTTACTCGTATGTTGTTTACGTGTTCATTTCCGTATAGTTCAGGAATTTCGATTGAATTCTGTTGCAAGTGCTTTGTATTGCATCAAATAAATCTGAATATGAATACAAATCAATAAAAGCAATGGATGAATTTCGAAAACACTTGTCCATGTGTCCAATCAAATTGATGATCAACCGATTGACAGTCAACAAAACATTTAACTAACAAACAACCAACTAAACATACACACACAAAACCACAGCAAAACATACCATACGAATGCTACTAGATGAAATGCAATCATGCGCGCATTTACATTCATTCGATTTGATTCTGGTTTCTCTGATTTTCTTTATTTACCTTTGTATTGAATTCAGATTGTCGATTTTCTGCGTTCTCTTCGTACTTCTGCACACATTTATACATTTATATATATATATAATTCAATGTCAACTGTTTATTTGTTGTTTCGCGATTGCTTCGTATTGAAATGCAACAATACGAAACGAACTGCCAATACGAATTTTAAATTGATGATTGTTTCGCATCAGATTTTAATCCATTTAATGTTTAGTTTATTTGGTTTTTGATATTGTAACTGTTGGAGCCACCACTTAAATTGGATTTTGTATGCAAAAAGTTTCACGTTGAATTCAACTACATCTTTTGTAAAAAAAATAACTTCAGAATTCGTTCTGTTCGGATGCCGTCTTGTTCAAATCGCATTTTCTCTGCTTTTACGCATCAAGATCTCAGCTACTCTTGACAATATGAAATGGGAAACGCGACTGGCGATGTGAATCGCGTATGTGTCACAAATTTTCGTCTTTCGATCTTCTGTTCGCTGTGTGTTATTTCGTTTTATTTTTTTTTCGTACGAACACAATGATCCACAATTCGAATTCGATCGTCAATACCTGGCTGTCATTATAAATTTTCCATTTATTTATTACATGAATGTGAATTAATAACACAAGAGAATGTGCTGTGCATTTGCTCAGTGTTTGTGAACATTGATTCTTTCGATGCTTTGGATGGCTCCCTTTTTCCCCTCCATGCATCTCATGTGATATGCGCTTGTGTGCATTGTCACATCCTATCTGATTTATATTTGCCATTTGTTGGCTGTTGTTTTTGTTCTTCATTCAACTTCTGTGTCCATCCAATTTCCATATAACAAGACACATGGCGTATTTCAATGCGTTCACATATTCCAATTGTCGACAGAACACACCATAATTATTTATTTATAGAGGGATTTATGCTGAAAGGACACATTGGCTTTTGCGCGCAATCAAATCAAAAATTCGTTGAAAATTTATCTAGAATTAAAGCGCGAGAGCGATAAAAAAAAATCACATAGTGATTATGTATGCGCTCTCGAATTGCATCTTTTGAAATGGTGGCTTTTGTTGACCATGTAATTGTATTGCACGCTTCATGTCAAATGCAGAATAAAAGAGATTGACCATACCCAGACCGAATACAATTGATATAGAATTTTCATATGTGAGCTTCTCGGTTCTTTGTTTGGCTGCTTGGATTCTTTGAAGTTCTGGTCTTCTTCTTCTTTTTTTTCTCATATGATGTCAATCGTGGTACTTCTCATTTTAACTGCTAGTGAGGTAATTGTGATTGTTTAGTCTTGGCTTGTTCATTATTTTTTCGGTGCACTGGCACAATACAACTGCCAATTCTCAAAAATAGAGAACAGAACTGGCTTATATGTTTGTGTGTTTGTGTGTGACGCATGGTGATTGTTGTGTGAACATAAACCTTGCTGGTGACAGCTCAAGAGAAATGGCATGACAATTGACAGTAGCTATCGCGCGCTACAGTGTACGCTTCGTTGGAAATTTTATAACGAAGCCATATAAAATACATTTGAATGCATGAAAGGGAGAACACAATTTATGCAATTGCAGAATTCCTTGCAAAGCGCACAATTATCCGCATTCAGAACGTTGTCATTGGCTTGCTGTCGATCGATTTTTTTTTATTCTTTGCTTGATAATGCAAGCACAACTGATACAATACGAGTAAAAAAAAATTCTCTTTAATCATGTCAGTGATAGAATATGTCGTGAATTCTAATCGAAGGACGGAAAATTATCATTGGATTGTTTAGAGACAATGGTACAAAATACACTGTCGGTCGAAATGTCGCATCGTGTGTCGTACAATAATATTGCGAGATTTAAATGCAACATTTGTGCTTGTTCAACATATTATGTTTGACTGACTCTATTGATTGCACAACGATGTTTTTGATGAGCTTCACTGAAAACATTATGTCCGCAATGTGTCGAATCACCATCATGTTTAACTTTAAAATCGCTTCATCATTTTGATCGATTGATTGATTGAGAGCTTGAAGTTTCGTGTCGCGCATGCTGTACATATCATTTGCGTACGATGCATTCATCATTTTAATCTATTTTGGCATGTATATCTGATGAACTGCAAGAGATCTTCATTTCGCTTGACGTGAAGCAAATGTTCATGTCAAGCCACTTTGTACAAGGCTTTAAAAATTTGGATTTCAGCAAAACTTTTGGGAAGGTAAATTCCTTCTATTCGTTTTTCATAGGATTCCAAAGAAAAATCACTTTCATTTCGATTGGATGTTGAGTTTATATAAAATCAGTAATTAATCGTTGAACAATTGCACATTATTCAAATACCGTGCATTTTACAATAAATCATCAACTTATTTACCACGTGAATGATGATCTTTTTGAGATAAAAAGACACACACACACATAAATCAAAATCGTTTTTATAAATTAAGTTTCTAATTAAATCGCCGTTCAAATCGTCTTGACTTTATCGTTATTTTATTTTCTTCACACACCTTCATATATATGGCAAATGTTCAATTCTTTTATTTTAATATCAATTGAAATGGAATTATACGCTTACCGCAATGCAATCGATTGTTTATAAAACCGTAAAAGCCATATGAATCTTATGATTGTGGTCGCCAAGCCACAATCGATGCAATTGAAATTAAATAAACGTTTTAATGCTTGTGGTTTTAAACTAGCGACATAAGAAGCAGCAGCTGCAACAACAACATCAACACACGCCAATTTTCAACTTGGTGTTTTTTTTCCTATATATTATTATCTAATTGAATCAATGAGAAAGTTAACAAGATCAGCAAAAACACACGTTGTTATGCGCACATAAACAAAATGAGCAGTCCATGTTGGATTATTGTTTCGTTCGTATTGTTTATCCGTTTGATAAAACACCGTTTAAATAGTTGACACGCAAAAAAACGCCATTCTCTTATTTCTATAACAATGGTAAAGATTTCAAATAGTTCATTGATGATCATTTAGGTCTGTCACATGTTCAATTTTCATTTCCATTCTATTTCGTAACAGTCAATTCTCTTGGTATTTATCACAGTCAAAAATGGTCAATAACGATACAACCAAGTGTGAAACTGTATTTGATAAAAGTTACATGGTCTACTCTCCCATTCTGCACGCAATAAATGGCGAATTTTTTTAGAGGTTTTCCACTAAGAATACTAAATCTTACTCACCTTTAAATAACATTTTTCTCATGCTACGCATATTTGAAGAACAGTTCCAACGATTATGTTTAAATTGATGCTCACACTCTCTAAATCCCATGTTGATTCCTCGGCTAATCTCTCGCATCATAGACGTTTCATTTTTACATAATTCATAATATTTGCCACGTAATCGGCGCGACTTCTTACACACCAAATATGGATCTAATAAAAAATTGCTGCCTTCGCCCCTGATAAATAGATGCATCGTTATTTTTTTTAAGGTCATTTCAAATATCAAAATCTCTTTCAATTTTTTCAAGTTGAATCTTGCATTTTATTATCAAAGGTTTTCTTTTTGTTGCTGTATCAGTAGCAAAGTGTTTCAATTTATGACTATTTCATTGGTATTCTCAATTTGTTAAAATTAAATTTTATATAATAACTCAATTTCAGCTGTTAAAAGAAAACATAAATAAACCGAGTTTGGTTGTAAAATAGATGTTGACCTGCACTATGTTTCTTTCAATGTTTGATATTTGATAAACGATTAAAAGCCCATAAAAAGCATATAAAATAACAGACCATTTTTTTCAAAATAACACGTAATATGATGTTTCGTCGAAATCATGGTTAATTTTTACAGCTTCAAATGAAATTGAGCCAATCCGTCAAACGTACACACAGACACGCACTCATTCAAAACTAAAGAGCTAAATAGAAACAAAAAAAACAAATACGAAAACAGTAACAGAAAACAAGTGTCGAAGAATAAAAAAGAAGGTACACAACCAAAGGAAAAAGGTTTCAAAAAAAATGGGAAAAAATGACGATGGGTGCGTAAATCGTAAAAACTAAAAGAAAAACAAAAATAAAATAAAAAATTAACCCGCTTTGAATACAAATATTCTATTTCCTTTGCAGAAGTTTGACATATCTACGGCTTTTGCTCAGAATTTGTGTTGCTAACGCAATTCACAGGTTCACTATCTTATATTTCTTAAAATCTGGTGTCGGTATCAGTAATTCTTGCACCTCAAGTGTTAAACAAAGAGAAACAAGTGTGTGAGTATGAATATGTGACTGAACCAATATTTATTTAAAACTGATAAGAAATGGTTTATTGAACATTCTTGGAATTGTCTATTTTGAGCGCCTCTCGAATTTTATTGCACTTTATTTCAATAACAGAAGTCTTTAGATCTGATTTATATTTTTGTTTTCTACACTCCGCATCGATATTTAACCATACAGCCAAAATAAACAATTTGGAAATGTTGTGAATTAAAGAAAAACAAATGCCAAATGAAATTGAAATATATTCCTACAAATTGTGAAGGAAAAAAAAAATGCAAAACGAAACATGAATGACGGTTTCAATAAAATAAAAGAATATATTACCATCCAAAACCAGCAGTGATCGGCATAGCAAACACCAGCACACACCAAACGGCCGCAATCGATACGGGTATTACGGGATGCATAGCTAATGCATATGTGTATGTATGGCTATTTTTTCTGATATTGTTCGCAACAAACAACAAGTAATACACGAATGAAAATGAAAGAATGCCTGCTACCTAAAATAGCAGTTGAGCGCATATAATATTGGCTTCACTCGTACGCACACAACATCAATCCGAATACGAATGATAATTTTGATAAATATAGCTATAGCAAAGCGTTGTTGAATTTTTTCGGTCTCAGCTCTTTTTTTCACAAACTTAATAATTGAAGAAGAAAAAAAAAACGAACAAAAAAATCACAAAAATGTCACACACAAAACACGATCGTTTTTTAGAGCGTTTTCAATGACTAAATGCATTTGATTCTTTTGCTAAAGGTGCTCATGAATTTATTTATTATAAGATTTCTTGATCCCTCATTTTCTATCATTAATTCACTTATTTCTTTTTCTCTTGATTTAAAGGTCCATCAAACAAAAGAAAACCCGAAAAAAACACGAATCTCACAAATATTTCAGATTCTTAAAAAATGAAGGACAATATTTTGTTATCGAAAATCGTCACATTAATTGAATCACTATTTCATCAACCAAACTGAGCGCGTATTTCAGTCAATTATCCACAAAATATTATTGTATTTTTAGCGTTTTTTTTTATATTTTCGGTGCTGCAATGTACTAAATAATGATTGTGTTCTGTTGTTATTTGGAAATCTTGTGTTGATAAAAATTGTTTGTCCATCAAAAAATGCACACACAAAAAAGAAAACAAACCGTTCAGCGACCGCCGTACGATGCGTTTACATCTTTTTTTGATGGTAAAAACTGATCAACTCACTTAAAAAACGATATGCGGAATGAGGCCGGTAGACCGAATACGTTGCGCGACGGCGGTTAAATCGAAACAATCCATAAACATTTTCGTCGTGCTGTTGTTTTTTCTTCGGTGTATGTTATTCTTTTCTCTTTTCTCGTTTTGAGGGCGCAAAAAAACGCGATCGACGAAACCAAAGAAGAGAATCCTCGTTAAGTTGTCGCCTTGGTCACTCAAAACCGATTAAAAATTCTTCGAGGATTCTTTGTGCTACCTTTTTCTAACTTTTATACAACAACAAAAAAACACCCGCACTCCTCAATCCTCACCGTCAAATACAGCGAATGCATTTAACCGGACGATTGATGCATTTTGTTTTGGCTGTTTTCTAAAGCAATTGAGATTTCGACTATGAAACGATAAGCAAAGATAATCTTAGTAAGTCACACAAAAGAATGATCATTTTTTCTAGCTGACTCACACTATTTACCACGACACATGCACACCAATTACGTTGCTATGTGTGATCATGAAATAACAACATTCATCCCAAACGAAATCTCTCATTTATTCAAGAATCAACCGCTTTATCGTGATCATTACACCGAACGTTAAAAAAAAAATTACTATCGCAAATAAAAACACATTCGTTAAAGGAATAAAAGAGTATGAAAATTGTATGGGCTTAGTTTTTGAAACGCACAACACAGACTGATAAGATGCGGCCCATAACGAAACTCGAAAAGAGTTTATCTCACGTGCATACGACATATGTATACACGCACATACCGTAGACGGTTTCTGACCGTGTGTTGGGAAGTTGAAAAAAACGCAGACAATTGCTCGCGGTATTTTGGAAGAGTGTTGTAATACGTTGATTTTCAAGTTTGGTTATATGTGGAAGAATATAATTGTGTAGAAACCAAAATATTACAATTTAATTATTTGGAAAAATTCAAGTTAATTAACTGAACTCAGTATGATCATTGATCATGCGTATATATGAAAATAGCTTGGAAACAGATTTAAAGGGCAAATCTATTTGCATTCACTATGCATGCATTTCTGTCTAGATTTCTGTTGACATTTACTTACCTTTGTATATTCAAACGACGATAAGATAAAAGAACAAAATAGGAGTATTTATTTAAACAAAAGAAAAAGACAAAAATGGGCTTACTTTGTTTTTGTTTAAATAAATTGATTGAAATTTTTTTCAAGTTGATAATAGTTGAGATATTCAAAAAAAAACTTTTATTTTTTATAATGACGGGATATTATGAGAAATTAAGAAACAGATTAAATGAAAAATAATCATATCTGGAATAATTGATTTGGTAAAAAATACGAGAATTTCTTTAAACTGGCCAAAAAACGTTGAACAATAATTTGTCAACTGTAAAAGCGACCAGTGAAAGATGGGGCCAATCTTAAAAGACAAGAAAAAAGACTATTTAACCATTTGATATTCTCATAAAATTAGTTTCGTTCTCTGTTTGTGTATTTAACAGGCACAGTTTTTGTGCTTATGCCTTTTGTTTTTACCTTCGATCCATAAAAACGTGGTGTTTTTCTTTCGAGTATTGAATGTCAAGAACAGTATGTCATCAACACGATTTTTTTTTGGTTGAATATGATATAATTTATTCAAATTAATACCAAAGCTATGAAACGAAATAAATTTATTAAATGATTTCATTCGATCTTCTGGAACTGACTGAAGTGATAACCAATTCAAAATTGCCTAATACAAAAACATTTACCTGAGAATAAATCGATTAAAATACAGCCAAACCTGTCAGTTCCTGTTGATTTGAATCTTTGAAACTAATTTTTCATCATAAAAATAAATATTTTATTTATATATCTTTTTCGATGGTCAAACATTTTGATTATGATTTCTCTTATTCTGGCTACCATAGCTACCATCTAATTAAATATTTACGTGTGGTATGAAAAATGAGCTAAAGCAGGTGAGAGAACACACACAATCACTGTGGCGTTTGTGAAACATTCACAAGAGTCGAATTCTAATGGCCAAAGGAATGTGAAAAGAGCCATCAACTGGTGATCATAAAGAAATTAAAAGAAGAAAAAAAAAACACAACCGAAATGGACAAAAATTATTCGAATCCGCCAAAGAAAGAAATTTGTATTTGCAGTGATCTCAACCTGTTCGAATATTTAAAACTTTTAACATTGACACAAAATGGTCTCACCAGATTCAAGCCAATTCATAAGTTCAGACACCAAAGACCACAAAATCTTTGAGAGTGAAATGAACTCACAATTTGGCAAAGGGAGTCGAGAGGAAACTGTTTTAAAAAAAATTGCACAAAATGATGAGATAAAAAGTGAAAAACAAAGGCCAGAAAAGGAATTCAGCAACGAAGAGAAAAAGATGTAGAGAGCAAGCGCGAAGAAGAGGCAAAAAATAGTTTATGTGAATGTTCATTTGAAAGCAGTTAATGAGAATGCATTAATTTGATCGTTTTCCGTGTGTATGTATATGTATAAATATATTTTAATTCTTTCTCGGCTTAACAGTTTCATGGTGGGCGACCACTGCGGATTCTTTACATCTTGATAAAGCAAACGCAAATGCAAACACAAAAAAATTAAAATCCATCGAAATGACAGCAAAAGAGAAGCGGCTACGACATTAATTCGCAAATTTTTTTTTACATCTGCTGCTGAAAGCATTAAAAATGTGCTGAACGAAATAAAAGAATGTGACCAAAACCGCCTCAACACCGATCGATTTCTTTATTCATTCGAATTTTTCTCTTTGGTTAGAAAAAAAAGCAACATGTTTCCATCGATTAAAAGCGTCGTGTGTGTGTGTGTGTTTGTGTCAGACCATTTTATTTGTTGTCGCACTATGAATTTTACGAGCGTTTCAGGTCGAGTGCTACCTAACAAATTTGGATAATAGTTTGACACATACATTCGTTTTTATTGGTTAATTAAATTAGAATGTTTCGTTTTTAGCTTCTTTTTTATGTGATTCTCTTTTTTTTATGATGTTGAGTTTCTTAAAACAATTAAAACGCTTTATTAGTGAATCACATCAGACAAACAGAACTGATTGGACTGATATATATTTTTTCAAATTTGAACTGCTACTGAAAGTATTTGCTTCTTTGAAGTAAATTCTGCGAATGTGTCATTCATATTCACTTACTACTTGTATTATGTGCGAAAAACTAGTCAAAAGTCAACATTCAATATATCAATGAAAAAAAGACTTTACAAAACACCGACACTGCGGTGCTAGTTGAGGTGAGAACAACTCGTCGCTCATTTAATTGACCGACAATAGCAATTAATCAATTCGAGATCAAAAGATATCGGTTCATTTCGTTTTGGACAAGAATTTCAATCGAAATGTGTGTTCTTCCTTTTTTTTCTATTCTACTGTATTTCTACCACACTTTTATAATAGAAATGAATGTGCCCGAAAAGACTCTGTTCAGAAAGAAAAAAACCTAGGTAGAATTAAAATGAAATGAAGAAAGAATGAGAAAAAAAGAGCAAAAAGACAATTGATTTCATGTTTGCTCTGAAAGGAGAGAGACCTACATGGATGCAAAAATTGCCAATTGTCCAATAGAAAGGCACATTCTATCTTTCTCTTCCCATCCTCATACAGCATCTGTACGTAACATTTATAAAATGCAATTCAGTTGCCGATTTTGCGGTGTACTCAAATGAAGATTCGCTCATTAACACCTGCTGTGCCAAACTATTATTTACGAATGTTCTTTGAATATTGCGCCTACGCGTGTAGCAAATACAGGATGAAAATGAACAAGAGCACATATGTAGTGTGCACAACGATGCATACAAGTCAATAGAGATGTGGCATGTGGAGCTGTTGAAAAATGAAAACGTCTACACACTTCTGTGAACATTTTTTTTTTTTTTTTTTTTTTTTTTTTCAGAACGAAACAACATTATCAACGGTTTTTGCAAGAATAGTTAAAACATGATTTCTATTTTTCACTCTCTTGGACCAGAATTTTTGGTGTATGGAATTTTGACCCACTCTGTATTTATGAAATTATTATTTTGATAGACTGCACATTTGTGCAAAGATTATTGAAAACATTAACATTTATTTTGAAATCAATTTCATAGGCTATCATTTGTGAGATCTATAGACACAATAACACTCTACTGATTCCAGTGAATCACATTTTCTTGTGTGTTCAGCATTTTGAATTCATTCGTAAAACAGTTTAATATCGATCGCCGATTTTTATTTACGGCAAACAGTTTAAAAAGTGTTAGACCTCACACAATGCTACACACAAATTATATGTATGCATATTCAGATTTTGCACACTATCAAAATGCTTGAGCAGCACGATCGAATATATATTCGTCATGTCACGATGATCAGCATGCAGAAAGAAAAAAGAGACAGCAGAGATCTTGTGAATAGAAACATTTTAAATGTGCCTAAAATTGGAATTTTCACCACAAGCAAAATAATTTGGAGAACATCGAAGATGATGTTCCATGCAGAAATGATACGTATATATATCATTGTATGAGTTGGATGGTATGGAATTAACTTGAATTCACAAGAAATTTATCCATTGGTGATCGTCTATTGTGTGAACATTTGCATGAGACATCCAACGAAAAGATTCTCAAGCATCGAAAAGTATATAATTATAATAACACCACGAGTTGGGTTTAAGTCGGCTAATGTCTGTCTAATGAATGCTCTATACCAGATTATCTATTTACCTAAATTGCTTAATAAATTGACCATAACTCCTGTAACTGTTTGTTCTCTCTTTATTTCTTTCATGGAATCGCATGCCAATTTTGTTCATTCAATCGTATGAATCATTCTTTTGTTTTCACACGAAAAATGTTCGACGTTTTGTGCATGCTCATAATTCAGTGTCTTTCTTCCTCTCTCTCAGCACCCATCTCCAAACGGAATGACACAAATTAACACATAAAATAAATAAAATGTTGAAAATGCTTATGAATGATCTCATATTCGACTTTTTTAGTCTTTATTTTGTACCTAATTTAACACTAAATTCTGGTAATTCATGATCCGATTTATTTTTACTTTTTTCTATCCCATTCATTAAGTGTTAAACGCAATTTTGCGAGTCTAGCCAGGATGTAAAACTCATAATTTTGTTATTATTTCAAGATTTAGATTTGGTGATAACATTTTTCCTCTTCATTTTTATAAAAGGGAAACGTTACCTCATTCATGTACCTACATTATGGCGCGACAGCACATCCATTACAATGAAAGAATATGAAAAAAAATGTAGAAAGATCATGACCAATACAGCTATTATTAGATGATTACTTGCACATTTTCTCAGTTCGCCTTTTTGTTATGACTAAAAAAAAATTCAGAGAAAACCTTTTGTCGAGTTTATCGAAACAAAAGAGGTGTAAATTGGTTTAATGTCTTCTCACAATGAGTATTTTCGGTTGTGTTGATTTCACTTGGGGATTTCTTAATTGAATTCAACCAAAAAAACCTACCGATGACTAACTGTTAATTATGAAGACTAATTATTATTTTACCGAATGTAATCACAGATAAGAATTCATCCAAACACAGAATGATGTGTATATTATGTGCATGCATCGTTACATTGTCAACTCATGCGTTGTTTACACGACGCGTTGTGTGTAGGTGGGCGTTAATACTTCAACTCATATTTCAAATTAATATAAAAAAATAGCGGAAAGAATATAGGCGGAGCTTGGAGCATAATATGGAACATATTTGCCTTAAGGGGAACCAGATATTGATGATTCTCAATCTTCATCTCTTTTTAATGGTATCAAATATATATCAAATTTTACCTGAAATATTTTCTTATGAAATAACATAGCTGGATGTGGTCGAAAGTCTTCGTTCATACCAACTAAATGTTTGATATTGTTACTTGTTTTTTGCTGTGCCATTTCAATCCTTTGACGATGATTGACTGACATTTTTTTCAAATTTACATGACTCAGTGGTTATAATGACACTGTGTCATGTGTTATGACTGCTTTTAAGTAGTTAGACATATTGAAATGTAAATAGAACTAAATCTTAATAAAGTAAATGCACTTGTAAATGATTCGACTCAACGACTCCATTTTTGGCCCGAAGGCTTACATTTAACATTAGTTTGATTTGATTGTTATGAATAGATAAAAAATTCTGTCCAATGCAATTTTTCAGTTGTAACCACAAATACAAACTTTGTATTACAAAGTCCATTTGCTTGGAGCAAAAAAATGCAACATTTTAATTCATCTAATTTCTTATTAACTAAAACGAAGAAAAAACGTATTGGAAATAAATGCATAATTTAATTATGACGCCATTTTTGACCTTTTTCTAAATATTTTATGCATGCAATAAAGTTTGAGCGTTTCTAAATGATTTATTCAGGTTCACATTTGGATATCAGATCAAGTAACTAGTACATGTGTTGCGAAATAAGACTTTGCGCCTAAAGGGAAGCCATGCTAATTTATTCACTGAATTGCATTTGATTTCAGTAAATTGCGTTACTGTTGATTAAGATTATGTGAGTTCCGATTGACATATCACTCCAAATGTACGTCGATTTGACATTGGATTCGTGGGTTCATAAAATTCACAAAAACATGGTATGAAATTGAAATAAATCTTGTGAACGATTACCTTAACGCATTGTTCAATCTTGATATGCATTTTATATTATTAGCCATTTGTGCTTTGTAATTACAATTTAATCTCAGTAAATGTAGAGCATAATACCTTTTCACATGTGTTGAACCAAAATGTCCACCCTATTTACAAAGGATAAATCAGGCTTATTCCATCTGATCGCATATAGAACATATGACATACTTTTTCGTTTAACAATTGCATCATACAAAAATGTTGTATTACAGTTGTGTATATTTTTTACGAACTCTCAATTTTATTTCCCAAATTAAAAGAGAAGAACGCTACCAAAACGGCGTCATAATAATTCTCATCCGTACATAAAACAACCACTGCATTCCCATTGATTTTAATCGTTGAATAAATTTCGTTTTCATCAAGATAAAAGGGGTGCATTTGTCATGATACACATTTTTTTATTGTTGTTACTTTTGTTGTTATTCTAGTGTCAGTTGTCTATGTCATGTTTTTAAGTACGTATAAGAGATACTAAGTGGAGGTATAAAAATAAAATTGTAATATTGCCTTGTTGCTTTCCCGCACACACATACGGTAAAAATATTGTTATCGCCCAAAGAACATTGCGTTTCATGATTCAGCTACATTTAAAATGTACTGTCTAGTTACCTTGAGATTATGATATAGAACTCTTGTTCAAAAATGAGAATTTCCCTAATTATCGTATTGGATGCATGGAATGCATATATGGATATGGTCCAAAGTGCGGAAAAGTTAGTGCTACAGATAGATCCTGTTTATTTTTTGGTTGATGAAATAAATTACAGTTTTTCCATTGGTAAATTGAGTAAGCATAAACATGGAGACGGTTAGGATACAGAAAATATTCAGTGATGTCAGAAATTTACGTGATAGCAATTTGACTACAAAACAAAATGTTTGTGCAATCGTAGAATCAAAATATTCAATTCAGTTGTGTTTCGACTGTTGACAAAACAAGATCGAATCGTTGGTGCATATCAAGCGAAATATTAAATTGAAATTAGTGTTAAAAGGAAGCGAGTGTGTGAGCTTGTTTTGCTGAAGCGAATCAAAAACGAGTTTATTATTGTTGATTTAAGTGAGAATGTTGATATTATGAATAAAGTGTATATATACTACCAATCAAAGCGCTCTGAATAGATTCCCACCCAGCGGCCAAAATTCACTATCGTTCAATACCAGTTCCGACCGCGAACTCTACCTCTATTATTTTGCGCGATACTGCGATGCGGCAAAACCGCAAATACATTTAACAACGCATAAACACTTGAACAAGCGATGATGATGATTATTGATCTTAAGGCGTTCGTTGTATGGCAAGACGTGAAAAAAGTTTTTCACTGCAAAACACAGAATAACTGAACAACGTGCTATTAATTCGACCGAAAACTGTCGGCAACAAACAAATACACAACCAACAGAAGAATACCACACATCGAATCAATGCATTCCGCAGTTTTGTATATATTGGTGTATATTGAATGTATTCAATAAATGTGATGATGCTTTAATGTGTGTTTCTATATTGTTCTGCTTGCAATTTCAAACCAAAAAAAAAAAAAAAAATTCTTACCGAATCGACTTGATGCGCGTGAAAATATCTAAAAACAAAAACAACAATAACAAAACCATGCAAAGCATCAACGAATCACAAAAATTAACGTGCATCTTGTTTCCATCGGCTGCCGAACTTATGGTGCTTTCGTTTACAATATTTTCGTAGCACATAAATGAACAGAGTCCAGAGAAAACGCATCACACAGCACATGTATCACACACAGCAGCATCAATCTCGCGCGTGGTTGATGAATGAAAATGATGTGATCGGGGAAATTTCCAACAAAAACCAAAACGTAGCAATAAACAACAATAGAGCTAATAAACCATCCATTTGGTGTGTAGACATCGTCGTACCCAGCGCGCATTGTTTTCAATTCGTTTGTTTTGTGATAAGTTTCAGTCGTTGTGCAATTCCTTTGAATTCATTGTGAATCATGAGAAATTCGATAAAAGGAAGTGTGGGAAATTTTCTGTGCTGAATAATTGCCAAAATAAGAAAAATAAAATAAACAATGATAAATTGCCTTTTATTTCTTGTTGAGATTCTATAATTTTCTATGTGTGAATAAACCAAAAATAATCAAATAAAATGAATAAGAAAGTGAACTTTATCTAAAGAATATCTAAATAAAAGGACCGAATTTAAAATTAGTTTTACATTTGCTTTCGAAAATTGAGTCATTATATTTAAAATGAGCATAACATAATTTGGCGCAGCTTGAGATATGGCACGGTGGACTGAACCAGTAATTGCTACGTTCCTTTTAGTTCTATTTCAAAGGTAATCGAAACAAAACATTTCTTCTTCAAACACGTTTTAAATTTCTACTTTTCGTTCATTTCAACAAACACACAGACACATTCAAAATTGAACACAAGCAAATATTTCAGTACATTTAAAATGTGTTAAATTTTGTGTTGAAAAAATCAATTCGTTATCAGTGCATTTCATTTGCATTTAGCCTTTATTTCATAATAAGTTTTATCCTGCCTTAATTGGAACAACACACTTTACATTCGAAACCAAAAGCAACACGCACTTCTTTTATTCTTATCTACATTTGCAACGATAAACTTCGATTCGATGAATATTCTAATTGGAAAACATTTAATTAATGGAATCTATTTTATATATGATAAAAAAAAAACGAGGAGCTCATTCAATGAAGCCGAATCACATGCAATAGAAGAGATGAAATTATCTACAAATAAATTGAATACGAGTATCAATATTTAGGTTGTGTTTTTAAGTGATAACAATCGTGAGAATGTAAGAGCATGTGTTGCCAAAATTGAGAAAAGGGAATAAATAAAAATCGTCCAATAAGTAAAAGAAATACACTTATCAATTGAGGTAAATAAACATTATGCCGATAATTAAAATCGAAGCATTCAATTCCATTGCGATTGCACAAATTTGAATTTTATTTTTATTGAAAATGCTGCTTTGCATTATGTAAAGAGCGAGACCGACAAAATTCGGAATCATGACGTAAAAAGTTTGATGTTTTTGTATGATTTTAATAAAAAACGAAGTCGATTTAACAAAAAAAAAGTAGCCGATATTTGGGTATGATCAATAAATTATTTGTGATTCCGAATAGTTCGTCTCTTCGAAAGGTCAATGCGGTAGTTGTGAATCACACAACATGTGAGAATTAGTGAAAACTTGGTTCTCATCGAAATTTGTCGTCGAAATTCTTTCGATTTGTGGTTTGAAACTGACATTTTCTGCAATATTGCAAAAATTTAAAATTTATTGTTTGAATCGCTGGCGCTTGATTCTCGATAGCTTCTGATTTAGTAGTAGTTTCATTCGTGTAAGAATTGAGATCATCGTCCCTTGAAATCGCGCAACCGAATTTTTTTTTCCAAAACCTATTCCGATGTATTTTTTTTTGAGAGCCAGGTCTCAAATATGAATATTAAAAGTAAAATGGAAGCGTTTATCTTATTGAATCGCAGTTCGAAAAGTCGAAGAACTGAAAATTTAATATTACAAAGAAGAAACTTCATCGAAGAATGCACGAATGCTTGGAGGGAGAAAGATGAAAGGAAAATGCAAGATATGAAACTCGCCTTAGACTTATAGACTTTTGTAAAAGAATTTTTTGTTAATTTACCAGACATTTAAATTGATAAAATAAAACAATTTACACAAAGAGTAGTTTTTTCTTGTTGTTGTTGTATATTCTGTGTTGAATTTGATGTCGAAACGTTGTTTTTTTTTACGGTGGCATAAGAGCAAGCGAAGTTACACGATTTTCAAGCGAGCGAAGTTACAATTATTGAAAAAGTTTCATGCGATGAATTCGTTGTAGATCTTTGAAGTCACAAAGCTAATTAACTGCAAGAGATGAGTTGAGATTTTGCTTGATCCCTTTGCTTTGGTTCTTGATTTTTTGTGTGTATTTTGTTCCACAAGAGATTATCGCATTGCAACGATTTGTGAACATTCTGCTGAATTCCATGAATTTTATGGAACATTTGAAAGAGAAAAAAAACAACTGAGTAAAAAAAAGAAGAAATAACTTCAACAACTTTGAACATTCTAAATAATCATAATGCATTTTTTGCATTGTGGTGGATTTTTTTTTCTTTCGATTTTATGTGTGTTCGCATACGACCGACGATGATCCAAATAAGAAAAAGAATCATAGGACGTGGGAAATTGGATATTCACAAGTCAAATTGCGACAAGAATGATAAAAAAAGAGATCTCCATGTTACGTATGCAATAAATTCCAGCAGAACATTTTTGCACTCGCTTTGTGAAAAGCAGTACTCTCAATTTGGTTTTGTTTAAGAGAATGCTTCCACACACCAACTCGCACTTAAAACGGAAGAATATTGCACCTAATTGCAAAAAAACCAGGCGAGTATCATCGTTTGATATGCAAATATAGTCGGGGCGTATCGTTTTTGGTCCTACAAGTGGATTATGCGTGAATCCAGTTGAAGTGTTGCATTATTATACTTTTTATTTTGTTTGATGTTGGTTGCGTGGAATGCATCCAAGTATCTGTCTATGACCTGAGCAAGTGATGTTGTTATTTACATAACAAATTGATTGCTTGTATTAATTAAAGAATTATGTCTGTTGAAAAAGAAAGAAGTAAAAGGAAATTACATCAAAACATTGGTTGTCGCCCATCGATTTTTGTATCGTTTGTTCAACCTTTTATTCAAATTTGTTTATTTGTTCTTCATTTTCTCGACATTCAGAATTATGTACAGTTCATCGGATATTCGATCAAATTGTCGAATTATGGGTCTAACACGTGAGCAGCTAGATTTGTGCTATAAGGCAAATGATGTTACCATCGCTGCATTAGACGGTTTGGATTTGGCCAGGCGTGAGTGTCAATTACAGGTATGTGCATGCATTTGTATACCTATTCGTCCCCACACGAATGCATCTAACTCAAATTCGATATCTTCAGTTTCAGTGGCATCGTTGGAATTGTTCATCACTAAATATAAAGAAACGCAATCCATTCACATCGAATCTATTCAAAAAAGGTTAGCCACGTTGATTGGTTAAACTATTTGTTCGTTGGGTACAACAAACGGAAAAATTGAAAAATCATCGATTTTAATAGTAGTTGTATGTATGTGTGTGGTTATAATTGGATAGAAAAAGTGAAAGAAAAACGAAATCACTTGGAATTTAATCACTTAATTTAAATTTGATTACTTTCCTGAACAAACGTGAAAGAAAAGTCGATCGAATGCAATTGGTCACACTTGTATTGAATGGCGTAAAGTGCGCGAGCTAAACTCATAAGATTTGTTGGAGGTTTGACCTTTCTGATTTTGAATGCACATTGCACCAAATCATGCATATAAATTTCAATTTATATAAAAAAAAGACACACACGCCACAAAATAACGACAAAAAAATGAAAATCGTTTTATACTTAAACTCAAAGCAAATTAGTCATGCATTCCATTCATAAAATTTGATCGTATCGAAAAATACATAATTATTACATTATTTACAAACACGACGAAATGAGCTAAGAGACTGAACTAACGACGATGGCATAAGTTCTAGTCAGAGAAGCAAAAAAATAAATAAATGTTAAATAATTTAACAATATTTCGCAACTGACTTTTTGCTCTTCAGTGCTCCTCCGGCTCTGCAAATGCATAAAAAACACCTGGAAAACTTTGCTTGATGCTTATAGTGATAATGGCATTTTACATACTGAAACATCGTATTTAATATTTTTTGGATTGGATCCAAAAAATCGGCATTACTTAACTGATATGTAATAGCATTAAGCTCAATCTACTCCCAAACAGTATTCCACAAAGTGGAAACAAAGTATACGTAACATACTTCCGATTTAATGATTTCTCTCTCGTATCAAAGTCGGTTGAGATACATATCTGAATCTATTGTCAAAATGTATTTCAGTTAAATTTTATGAAAATTGCATTGCCACAAATGCAAAAAACCTCTCACAAAGTAAATGAAGCCGAAATGTGTTGTTGACCGCAAAGTAATGTGACACTACGAAATTGCTATTGGTTGTTTTCTAAGAAGAAACTTCAATGACAATTCATCGAAACACTGCACAGCGAACCGTGAACGGCGAACCGCATCAAAGCGAATTGGAAAATTCCTTGTGCACATATTCAAGAAAAACCAATTCATATCATTAAATCGTCTTTTGATCGAAATCAATGACGTGGTTATATTATGCCTTCGAATGAGAGCGTCTCCTTCACCATTTTCCTTGCGATAAATGCGCGTTTTCTTGGCCCATAATAAAATCATAGTGATTTAAGCATCGGAAAAAGGTACTTCACTTGTTTAACAAGTTATATAAATGTTTGCCGATTATGCAGTATGCACCATCAATGTTGAATGTTCGATATTTGCCTAGTGATAAATCCATAAATTTACAGCATCGACAAAATAAATGCGCGCAAGCCAAAACGAATACACTAATCTCTCCAAGACTTGGATTTCTCTCTCTATCTCTCAGACACATATAAACATTTGCATCCGCACCCGAAAGAAATCACATTGAAATACGACGACAAAATGTCAATCTGTCGAATGAATTGCAACGTGCCTGCTACTTACGATTCCATTGGTTTTGGATAATATTTATGGTGAAATGCATTCGATAAATATTCAAATGAATGGCATACACTGTTCTTGCATTGTATTGCTTAACTGGCTGTGACGGGTTTTGCATAAATTTGGTTTGATTTTGCTTATTGGCCACAGGCAATAAATTCAATTGAGCGCATTTCATTTAAATATCAATAAAATGTACATAATTTTCAAGGAATTAAATGGAATAAGGCTAGCGGAACAGATTTTGTTTTTCTTTGGCCGCAAATTCCTTACTTATTTAATTGTAAATTTTATTTTATTTTTTTATAAATACATAACGAAACTATCAATGAAATATATAGAAGCAAGCCTGCAATGTGTTTTTAAGTCAAAATAAAGGATATTTTTGGATAGAGCGGAAATATACAGACACATTAGGATGGAAAAGTATGAAGGAAAGATTATTTTTTAAATTTCATTTACATTTTAAACGAACACAGTAGCTCTAAAGGTACGAAAGGATTTACGTAGATCTTCTTCAGTAGTTTTATGTTCAAAACCGCACGTAAATGTCATTTTTTGATTGCGCTTTGCAATTATGTAAATTATCGTTTGCGGTTGTCGCGGTTTGAGTGCAATTTCATTGGAAGAAGCCATTTCTTTTCGGTTTACTAGTTTCACACATTTTCAAATCGAAATGGGCTGAATGTCAAAGGCAGAGCAGAAAATTCAAATAAAATGTAAATGCAAAAAAAAACAATACATTCCGATGTGTCAACGTCGAACAAAGGCCACATAACAAGAGCGATAAACAATTGAAAAAAAATCATCGTTTGTGTGTATGTACCGTTTTTTTTTTGTCATTTCATCTTGTTTATTTCGACTTATTTTGCATTTTTGGTTTTTCGCACACTTTTCACATGCAATGCCCATGAAGAGGGCAATGAAGACGTGTTGAAGATTTATCTTCTCCACTCAGAACGTCTTCGTTACATTCATTGACATTATTTTCATTGAAAGCTTGTTTGTTTCTTTCATTCCCCCTAAACAAAAACAAAAAAAAATAATAGGCTACAAGGAGAGTGCATTTGCATACGCCATTTCAGCGGCTGGAACTGTACAAAGCATCGCCAGAAGCTGTAGCCAAGGTCGATTAATTTCATGCGGATGTGATCCGTCCGTTAATCGAAAAGGACTTACCAAATCGTTACGCAAATATTTGGAGCTGGATAAACAGCATTTCTTTCAAACAATTGACAACCGTATTATTAACGCAGCGCCCACACCTAGGTAATATTCCAATAATTTAGTTCATCATAAACTCATGTTTTGTACTGTGATTTGTTTTCAGATTGAAAGCGTCCAATCAATGGAAATGGGGCGGGTGTTCGGTATAATAATATAATTTTTTTTTGTTACTATTCTAGTGAACATAACTTTTAAACTCATTTTTCTTTCATTTAAAAATAATATAGGCTGATATGAACTTTGGCATTGAATTTTCTGAATTATTTTTGGATTCACTCGAAAAGGCCGGAGACATTCAGTCAAAAATCAACTTACATAATAACCACGTTGGACGCATGGTATATAATCAAAATTTCGATTATTAGTAAACACATTTCTAACACATTTGGAAATTTCTAGGCAGTGGCGAATAATATGCAGATTCGGTGTAAGTGTCATGGCTTGAGTGGATCTTGTCAATTAAAAACGTGTTGGAAGTCAGCTCCTGAATTTCGAATAGTTGGCAAAGTGTTGAAGCACATGTTTCGCAATGCAATTTTAGTGAATCAATCGAATATGGGAAATGGTGAGGCATTAATACCATCAAATCGATTTGGTGGTAAACATCGCAGTCGAAATGCGATTCGATCCCCTCGAAAAATTTTCAATAAACACTCGTCGATGCGTTCCAGTGAAAAAGCAAATGAAAATACATTATTTTATTACCAGCGTTCGCCAACATTTTGTGATCGTGATCCATTGGCTGACATCCATGGAACAAGTGGTCGCAGATGCAATCTCAACTCAACTGGTGTTGGAAGCTGTTCGTCAATGTGCTGCGGTCGTGGTTATAATTTAGTCAAAGAACATCGCGTCGAGAAATGCGCCTGTAAATTTCAATGGTGTTGTCATGTTAAATGCGAAACATGTATATACGATGAATGGATTAGCACTTGCAAATAAAAACAATCAACCAATATAGATTTTACAATAAAAACAAATCCCTCTAATCATACCCTTCGATTCAATAGATTCCTATTTCATCCTTTTATCTTAAAACCGTGCCAAATGTCATACGTCCATGTCAAAATGTTAATTTAGATACCTAAAATGTTGTCCATTTTGTTAGGATTTAAATTCATATTTCAGTTTTACTCTTCGATAATAGTAGTAATAATTAAACGGTAGTCGAGTTGAGAAAAAAAAAACTTAAAATTGTAGTATTTTTGTGTGTGTACTCAATATAGCACATTTATTTAAACAATACATAAACAATAGGTATAAATTATCATGTATAAGACATGAAGAAGATAAAATAATTTAAAATTCGATCGCGTATCCTTCAAGCATGATTCCAGGATGAATTTCTTCACTAACGTACGTTCCAATGTTATGAAGAGCATCGTCGCCGCCGAGAAGAGTGCTTTCACCAAAACATAATTTTCGTTCGGATGGAACTGGAGCTTTCACACGTGGCGCCACCGGTGGTGGTATATTATCATTTTCATCAAAGTCAAAGTTTACCTTTGCGGACGAAGCGGATGAATAAACAATATTTCCATTGGTAGGTGAATTGTCGCCGTCATTTCCATTCTCTTTATTTCGTTTCATCGATGCGCGTTGGTGTTGTGTTTTTCGTAACATCCCTTGGAAATTGAACGGCGGTGCGTCCTCATTATTCTTTGAATGAACAAATAGAAGATATTTTCAATAGTTTTTTTCTCATTTACAAATGTTTTATGGAAATAAATTAATCGAAAATCTGTGAAAAAAGCAATAAAATGAATTGAATTATATACCTCATCATTTGCTGAATTCTGCCGGGCCAACAATTGTAATTCTTTGACTGGATTCAATTTTCCTTTAACGGCACTCAAATCTGCATTAATTGCTGAACGTTCGGGGGCTTCATAACGTATGATTGGGTTTCGTGGAGTTGGCGATGTTGCACGGCTTTTGTATACAGCTGGACGCATGGGAGATGAAAAATGACGAGACACTTCATCTCCGGGAATAATTCTATTTTCAGAATGAATATAATACAAAATTAGAGACAAAAAACGGCAACCTTTAACGTTTTACCTTTGGTATTTGTTTGCACTGTGGCCAGGTGATATACTAGATGCATTGATAATATGACTTGAGATGTTAACAGTGCGCCGCAATGGAGCATCCCAATCTTCTTGGTCTGACTCATCGCCCAGATCTAATGATTGACCGGTTGTCGGATCGCACATGTAATTTGTATCATAAAATGGTATCTCATCCAAGCGAAATGGTAGTTTTCGAACAGGTTGACGTACTGTTCCCAATAAAGCTGGATTTGACTCTCTTGGGTCAACTTTTTCCAATTCCATGCATTCATTATATTGCCTTATGTTTGCCACAGCAGCTTGATTATACAAATGAATCTAAATAAAATAAAATAATCAGTTTTCGATCATTAACGATTGAAAGAAAAAAATCGAACCTGTTGCGTTAGATTTACTAAATCCTGATAACGTGCCGAACGATAAAGTAAAAGTATTTGGAATATTGATTTGACTTTCCAACGCTTTGCAAAAGGTCGAATGAATTTGGATGTTTCAAAATCGATTTTACCGGTGCGCGCATTCAATAGAGGACCATATGTCTGACGTACTCTATAGCCTCGATAAGCTTCGAAAACATGAAAAAATGGATTATATCGATTTCGCATTAGATACCACAACAAACGAATAATTCAATTAAGCGTGTTCAAAAACGGTGCATCATCAACATATTAAAACCCTATACTAATAACCTCTCAGACGGTTTCCGTTTAAAGCAATACGCGCGAAGATATGTCACATACAGCTTAAAATCTGCTTTTATTGGGTTATTTATTATTTAACAGTACACTATAATTGCGTTATATGATTAAAATAGACACATCACTTTCACCATATCCGATATATTTGATTAAAAGTTGGAATCACTTTCAGAATCCGAAATACCTTTTTGTATAGCAAGTGCTGCGTCAGCGTCGGATAAATGATGATCACTAACTTTTGCCTCTTTTTGAACTGAAAATACCAAAAATAAAGTCTCATATGTGGGGTGCGTATTAACAAGCCTAAATACTCACTCGATTCTTGACGGAATGTCTTCAATTTGCTCGCCACATTTCGTTTTGCCAAAAATGCACGCATCATTGATTGCACCTTGATGATCTTTTTTACTTGAGTTTCGTATAACCTTTTTATTATAATAACAATTATTACTTGAGTTATTCATTTAAAGATCAAACTTTGAAAGATTATTCATCAATAAATGAAGATAATTTTTCAATTGAAATTAGTTTTTTTTTCTTGAAGTTTCAGAAATATTTAATGACCGAATGTATCTTCATTTCAAGTAAACCGGCAGTTTCAAGCCACACAAATTGTGACACAATAATACTAGTTTGTCTAACTTTATGCCAAAAACTCAATAACTCAACGTAAAATGACGATTAGATTGTCCATTAAATTTAACTGAAGTACAATTGAATAATGGAGAAATTAGGACTAGAGAATGTAATGTTATTCTTATCACCGTGATAGATATTCAACGTTATAGTATTTCAAGAAAACTTTTGTCTTTCCAATCGCCCAGCCTTCCATTTTCAATCGAATCAACAGCAATCTGCAGTTATCTTTTGTCATATCAACATTTTCGTCAAATTCAAATGCCAAGAACTTGTATCTAAATATTATTGTGAAGCGTAAGAATTGTTAAAGGATTAATAGTATATGTAATTATGAGAAAACAAAATGTAAAATAGATAAAAATTAAAATTACCTTCTCATAAATTCCTGGAAGCAAACACGCTGTGGAAAACCTTTTTGTCGAGCTATAGCTGTATCATGAATTTGCAATGCACGAATTTGTTGAAATACCATGTCATTCTAAAACCATTTAAATTCGTTATATAGCATTTAATTTATAGTTTCGCTAATAATAACTTGTTATCAAAAGCGTACATGATAAGCTCTTGGTTTATAATCTAATGTTGGTCGAATGCACCGGACAAAGTGAGTATTTCCACTACTTCCACCAATTGATAATCCTTTCAATATTTCCAACGAAGTCGATCGGAAAACTGTTGACAAAGTACGCATATTATGTACTTGAGAGTATTGTCCATGTGATAGTGTGTTTAGCTTTTGTTTTAACTGTAATTTTGTTGAATTTTTTATTAATTTCCAGTTTTCTCATGAGAATGGAAGATATAATTATATACTTTTGACTTTTGCTTTTCAGCAACCAACGCTGCACCCCATTTGGATTTATTCGAGTCTTCTTTGCTCACTGGCATTTGGTGATTGTAAGCCACGGTTAAATTGCCAGTTTTTGAAAGTGGATTCAAAAACAAAAGTTTGACAATTTCATCAGAAGATATTCTTAAAGTTTCCATCTAGAAAATATTTTCATCATGATTTAAAAGAGATAAGAATTGAAATTCTAGACGGAATTGCAAACCATATCTGGTGGTAAGAAATCTCGGTTTTTATCACCCATCGAGCGTGCATCATATGTTACTTTGCCGGTGTAATGAGCAACACTGAACTCGTGTCCACTTACTCTTTGCACATAAGAATTTTTATTAGTGCCAATTGTATCTACAACGGACAAAAATAATAAAAATAAAGACAATCAATCTCGACAAGGTAAAATACGGAATAAAGAAATTATTCAAGTTTCAAATCTTTACAATGCTCAAAATATGAAGAAAAAAAAATTGAACAGAACAAACCAGTGATGAACTCGTATTTGAAACGATCCCGCGTTGCATCGTCCAAAAAGAAGAACAAACCGTTTGGTTTTGACATCAAATGATCAACCGTGTTCTTATTGTTATGAAATTTATATACCGAATGCGGTATATTTTCTTCCTCCAACTCATTTAGCTCCCATGTAAACATTCGTTGATTATAATGGTATTGTAGCTGTTCATTCAACGAATTGATCATCAACTGTTCGATGTGATTTCGAGGCAAACACTCAAAACCAAACATGTCATTCAATGAAATCATATGCATGTCACCAAAAATTGCCCGGCCAAAGGCAAATTTTTGATTAATAATCGAGATAATCCAGTCAACTAAGCGGCTATAAATTGTGGCTGCAAGAACATCACGTGCATCTCGAGCTTCATCTTTTGTTTGTTTACGTTTTTCAGCCATGCCTCCCTGAACCAAGCAATAATTCACCAAAGCCCATTCAAATTTTTTCTCATCAACAGCAAGTAGACTGGCCACTTTATGGACTTCTTCCGTAGTTTCGATTGTTGCATATTTACCATCTTCAGTAAATCTCACATTTCCCAAAATTAAAATAGCTGCCAAAATTTTGCGAATTGATTGAATTTGTTCGTCTTCAAAATCCAGCAGTTTGAGATTTGCTTCAAATTCTTGGAATTTTGTAACATTGCCCTCCGGATCATCACGACAATATGGTAACTTACAGTCCAAATGTTCGGATCTAACTCGTAAATAACGATAATTTTGGCCAGCTTCGAGCTGAACCGTTTCCAGTTCATTTAATTTACTCAAAGCATCATAAAAGTAATAAAAGATATGGAAGTTCGATTGATCCCTTAAAGCAAATTAAAAAAAAATGTAAGCAAAGAATTCGGAACAAATAATACGGGTCGTCTCCATCTGCGTAAACTTACATATCGGTTGACGATACTCGCAACTTTTCCAATAAGAATACGTTGTATATCACTCCACTTAGTTTACCAGTTGTCCCAAACGTAAGCTGTGTTTGCAAAGCACATCTTGTTGAATCTGGATTTACCTAGTGTCACAAATTGCATCCTTTAAAATCTTTTCTTATTATAAGTTGTCATGGTCAGAATCAATAGTAGATGTGAATATATATTTATTTACCGGTGTACCGGCATTTGTGAGGGCATGAACTATATCGAGTGATTTTCGTACACGATCGCTGCAATTTTGATTTCCATTACCCAAAAAACACAAATGATCAACTACATCACAGAATATTTTGCCAATCATCATCAGGTCCAAGAAAATCAATACATCGCGAGAAATTCAGTTTATTTGTGCGTAACGAAAGAAAAACAACACCGAAAATAATGTAAACTAACCTGCATGTCGTAGTTGTGTTGTTTTTCCGGCATAACTTTCACCGGCAAATAAAATATGTTGAGGTTCCTCATGATGGCTCATGTCTTGATATGCGCTATCCGCAACGGCAAATATATGGGGTGCATTATCCGATCGAGATTTACAACTGTATTTAGAGTGAACCTAATTTAAGAAAGTGGAATATAAAAATACCGGTGGGTAAAAAAATTATGTCATTTTACATACCGATCGTGGAAACTCTTTCGGCAATTCGTTTGAATTTAACGAGATTAAAACGTCTCCAGCAAACGTATACGAATCGCCTCTTTCCAATCTTTGCTTCAAGAGATCCGATATCCTTTCTTCAGACAATTTGTCCAAGGCACACAAATCTTCAACTAACATTTTTTCCGGATCAACATTGTATCTCTTTATGCATCCGCCTATGATTGAGATTTCTTCTTTTGGAAGTTTATCCAAGACATCAATTTGTGACAACAAATGTTTTATCTCGCATGACAGCTAATTATAAGAATAATTACATTAATTTGATTAAGAATGGATGTTAAACATCGAAAATGTTGGCATACAAAATGATCATTTCCGGTAGGACCACCCAGCTCAGTGAAGAACGGATGTTCGAGTAATTCCACTAAGAATGGTCGGTTGTCTGGATTTTTCTCTAAACACCTAAGATCAATGAATTATCGTAGTTTAATAATTGATATTCAACAAAAAATGTATAATGAATGGGGGTATTTACTCAGCGATGAAATCATTGTAGTTTTGTGACCAATTGGCTGGACGATAAAGAGTTGGTGGTGGGTTTCGTACAATTTGAAACATTGCACGTGTTGGATGCATATCCATAAATGGAGCAGCGCCATCGCCGATCTCAATATCACAAAATTACAAAGGAATGTATCAATAGATAATATAATTGGTGTTAAAAAGAAGATCCAATGATAATAATCTAATACCTCAATAGCTGTTATTCCCAATGCCCATACATCGACGCGACTACTATATAGTTCTTCGTTTTTCTTTGCTGGAGTGCCAAACATTTCCGGTGCCATGTGTGAAGGTGAACCAATGCAAGTGCTTCGTTTGCCGAATGTGCTGCCAGTACTTTTGGACAGTCCGAAATCTGCCAACTTCACTTCACCTTCGGATGTTAACAAAATATTACTTCCACGAACATCACGATGTACAAAATGATGTTTGTGCATTTTAACCAGGCCTTTTGCGGTCTCTCTCAAAATATATGCAATATGCTCTTCCGATAATCTTCTGTTGACGGAATGAAGACGCTTTATGAAGTCAATAGCCGACCCACCATCGCAGTACTAAAAGTGCATTAATAAAATCTGTGTTTATCAAACGAATGGATTGAAATCGATCATACGAAAAAATATAAATAATGGAAAAAAATGACGTCGCAAGCCTGGCCTGCTTTTAAAGTACCACATTGGCTATTTTCTAGTAAGTATCACGTTTAGTTAACAATTACAACATTCAATCCCTTTTGTTTAAAAAAATGGTGAGATTTTTAAGCATATATGAAATTCTTGAGTACTCACTTGCAAAACAAACCATATCTCATCACTTCCACCACTAGTAACACGCTTGCGATAAACTCCATAAAAGTCCAAAAAGTTGGGGTGATCAGAGAAATCACGTAAAATACGATATTCATCGTCAATTATATGTTGTTTATCATCATCATACGGCTGAATTTTAACAGCGACCGTTTTGCCATTCGATTCTTTGTCGATGGCTTTGTAAACCTTTTATTTCAATCAACGAAAGAACGATTTTACAAAAAGGAATTATTTGCCTGCAAAGCCTTTTCTAACAAATTTCCGATTACTCACTTTTGCCCAAACGCCAGTCGCAATTTCTTCACCCAAATCAAAACGATTCGTTGGATCTGGCAGTGAATCCACTTTGAGGTGCATCATTTTTACGTTGATAATTAATGTAAGCCAATTTTATTGAATTTTTCAAACCTCCACAATACTTTGATGTTATACCTATTGCACATGAATGGATTTCTGTTATTGTCCTACCAAATGGTTAGTACAGACGACTTAATTGTATTTGCACTATATATAGATAATCAAAAAAGGAAAAAAAAACACAAATCCGCTTAGCTGTACTATCGAAAGTTTCGCATTGAAACCATACTTGCTTAAAACAAGTAACACCGTTTCAATGTTGTTTTTTATTACAAAGAAAACAGACACGACTATGATTAAATTAATTAGACAATACAAAATCAGCAGTTATTTTCCATGAATCAAACGATGATTCTTTTTTCCATTATATTAAAAACGTTTAAAAAAATCACTTTTTATAAACATTTGTATTGTTAAAATTACTATTTAATTGATTGGTATATTTAGAACTTAGGGCTTGACATAATAATTAACCTTTAATCAATCTTTTAAAACCTTTTCGAATGTAGACGATTTTCAAATATTTCAAACAAATTCAAATCTTCAGTACTTGTGTATTCAAAATTTCTTCTTTTTTTAATCTGACTGAGTCTGGTGCCTACTTGCTTATTTTGCAAAAGTTATGCAGAATTGATACTATAATTCTTACTTTCAAACAATCGCAGCAATAAAATGAAGTCAGTTCGATTCCACATCCAAAAATTGACTGAAATATTTGATGGAATAATATGTAGTTTGTAATGTGAACATTTTCAAAGTGTTCACTTTTTAAGTGTGTCAACGAAGTCCTAAAAATGCATTTGCATGCATAATACGGATTCACTACCACAAGAAAAGAACGTTTCCATTAAATACTTACCTTGAACACATGAGCTATTCAAATGATGGGCAAAAGTGAAAAAGGGACAGACAGAGCTGGAAAGGTAAAATATTTGATGAAAAAAAAAACAACCATTCCATTTAACGTGTTTACTTTATTTTTCCTTAACTGCTATTTTCTCATTTTGTCTCTTAATTTCTTACATCGTTTTATTTAAATTAATTAATAAAAATTACAATGAATGTGGTTGAATCTTTGCATATTTAGCGCGCCTAAACATAATGAGGGAGTTAAAAAACGGAACAATGAATTGCGTTTATGCTTGATGACAACTTTCTGAAGTTCTATTCGGTTTTAATGATAGTTCAGCTTTTGGTTATTTATACAATGCTCGAGTTTTTCTTTTCTTCTTCTTCTTCGTGAAATATATTTGAACGAAAAATTTTAATGAAATGTCTTAACAAAATTAAAATATAATATACAAAATCACAGAAGGTAACACATACTAACTTAAGTGCATTTGGGAGAAAACTAATGTTAAGAATGAAAATGTTTGATAATGAAACATAAAAAAATGCGCGAAATACAAGGGGCATACTACTACAGTTTCGTAATTCTTACAATTCAATCTAGTACCCCGATAATTCTAAATAATTCCGTATAATTCCATACAATGCCGCATAATTCTCAACAGTTTTTGAAGTGTTTTAAATAGTTGTTTATTTATAAAAAAAATTTCGATGAATATTCATATTTTAATGATAACATTTTTCCACAGTTTTGTTAATAGTAAAAAGTGTGTGTAGTTTTGTATTAAAATAATTTGTTGGATTTCGTTTTATTAGTTGTCATCGATTTTACGGAGCAAAACATTCAATGCAAAACAGAGAAGCGATTGTGTGAAAGAAACAATACATGCACAATCAGGACATGTACGTTAAGCGTTTACATCACAGAGACGAAGAGGAGTAGTGTGCGCATGTATTAGAGTTGTCACTCACTTCAGATGCAATTGTCAGTTCTCTTTTGCGCTGAATGTTTTGCTTTGTGAAATCGATGATAACTAATGAAATGAATTCAAACAAAATATTTAAATATTCTAACTTTGAACAAAAAATATGGAAAATGTTATCATTGAAAAATGAATATTCATCGAAAAAAATTATATAAATAAACATGTTTAGTTGCAACTATTTAAAACACTTCAAAAACTATTGAGAATTATGCGGCATTGTATGGAATTATACAGAATTATTTGGAATTATCGAGGTACTAGATTGAATTATGAGAATTACAAAACTGTAGTAGTTTGCCCCTTGGCGAAATAAGGTGTTTACATTTAAATTGAAAAACACTAACCGAAGTTTTACGTACTTTAAAAATAAGACTTTGGAAAAAAAATGTATGTTCACTAAATTCATAAGAGAACACCGATGACTAATCTTTTCGTTGGCTTCACGCTCGATTTTGAGTTGACATTTTGTTTTCTATCTCCAACCGAATTATAGCCCGAGAGAATCGATCAGAATCAGATATTGTTGTTGCTTTTTTTTCTTCTTTCATTCAAAATGCATTTAATTTGCAATTTTGTCCATTTTTCTTTTTGGTTTTTGGTTGACAGGATATTTCGAAATTTTAGCCCATTAACTCACTTAAATTTAAAGAAGACACAAATATTTGTGTCGCATTGAAAACTAATAAATTGAACTGTTTAATAACATACACTAATTGCGTCCTCTTTAATCAGTTTTGATTGAAACTCATTTCTATGGTCTTTTAATTGAGTAAAATAAAAAAAAATGGGAACTATGGCTGAATAACATATCATATGGAATTACTCATGAGCATGACCTGTCAAATAAATGGTATAAAAACTGCGTGAAGATTTTGCGTTCGAAAGTTCATGAGTGGTTTTTTTTCTCGCCAGAGTTTGTTTTTACAGTATATATTTCCATTGATTTGTAAAAGTTTACTATGAAAAATTAGTACTAACGCGGCAGTTGTTTTTATTGATTTCGATGTATTATGTAAGTTCAATGTTCATATTCTCAAAAAATGTTAAGTCTAAATCAAAAAGATATTCTCATATTGAAGAAAAACTTCGGAAAAATTCGTTTAAAAATGCATTTAAACTTAATGATGATGAAATAAAAACCATCAAAAATCCTTTGGTATACGTGAAATGAACGACATAAAGACGTGACAAACTGACCATAGTTTTGTTTGTTTGTTTTTTTTTTTCTTTTAAAAAATCATAAACAAATCTTAAATTTAAATTGAGCATTTCCTTTTGATATATTTTATGAACTATTTTGTGTTAGTCTTAATTATCGTCCGTCAAAATGGATTGTGCAATTGAAAATGTTGAAAATGATTGGTGAATACTTGACATAGGTGTTTGAATTTGTTCGGTTTGTATTTTCGCAGTGTTGAAATATAGCTCAAACCTTGGATGGAGGAGAGGAAGAGTCAATATCGATATTCGCTTTTCTCAAAATTTAACGAATATACATTTTTGTTTAGATAGATGAACTACATGGAATTCTTTTATAAATATATGATAGGTGTGTAAAAACTAACGTTTTGCTCATAAATTGAGTCGAATCTATGTAATTTAACTACGATTGCAATATGGCAAATATAGTATTCTTTTTATCGATTGCCAATCATTTCATTTTGTTTAATTGGTTTTCTCAATTCAAAAGACTATTCCATTCTCACACACATTCTATATGAACAATTACTTCTTAATATCGTGTTAATGTTAACATCGTTCAAATGTGTTTTATGCCATATTCATTGTAATTTTTTTGGTGATTTATTTTTATTTTCAATTTGTATGGTTCTTTGCATTATCCACTTTATTGAATGTGCATTCGAGTGTACATACACGCATCTCATTTTGGTGACCATATTTATTTTTTTACATTTTATTCTCACGTCAATATGCAATTCTGTAACATAGTTTTTATTTATTACTTTATTTCAAGTGCTTCTAGATAACATTCCTTATTTAAATATAATTTTCATATATATGATTTTTTTTTTTTGTATTTATTTACTCTGAGGATTAATTTTATAATAGTAAGATTTACTTATAATTTTTCTTCATTATCTGGTTGGTTTTACTTGACTGGATAAAATGGAAATGGAGATTTCAATTGACATTCGCTATGTTTTCGTATTTCGCTGAACTGGATGAATAATTTAACCGAAAAAAAAATTTGTGAATGTCGACGATAATTGTATGAATTTTGCAATTATTTGCAGATGGAAGTTGGTTGATCACTATCTATTATAGTTTTTTTTTAAATTAAAATCAGTTTATCATAAAAGAAAATTTGTGACTGTTTTGAAAAGAGAATTTGACAGTATTTTACGTAATTATTTTGGTAAATCTACTCATTTTCAACGACATTCATTATTTCCTTCTGGTTTTTATCTTCTTCTTCCTTTACTTAACTTTAATAGTCTTTTCGGCGACTAACATTAACCTGTGTCTAAATAGTTTTCTACATATGACAATACAGAACGTCAACCTGTTAAAACAAATTAATATGATGATTTATTATAATGTGTGTGGGGTGAGTGAATGTGTGATTTTTGCTATTTTCGATTAAAGATTTACTTATAGATGTGATTGTGGTGTGTGCATCACCGCGATGACAAAGTGTGCGATTACATTTATGTGGAATTAACAATAATTGTCAAAAATGAAATATATATGTGATATATGATAAATGATGATGATGATGTGGATCGAATGGAAAACAAAATGAATAAATGTGTGAATGCTCAATTTTTTTTTACCATTGATTATCATTAACTATTTACAATTACCATATAACATTTAAACGTTAGGCAAAAAAATCCTCTTTACTCGTTCTTCATGTAATTGGATTTTCTATTAGTCGGGCGCGTGGATTGTATAAGTTAAGCGTTTTTTTCTCTATTTGGAACCCATTTTTTTAATATTTCTAATTGAATGATACTTTTTTTTAAAAGAATATGGGCCAAGTTCGCTTGGGACGACAGACAAATGTTTTTTTTTCATTCTTATAAACCAATTTGATTAATTTTTTTTTCCCATAAAATGTTTCATATACTTAAAATACGTACATAAAACGACTGATGTTTATATTTTTTGGTGACATATGTACTTTACTTTTTTCTATAAAATTTTACTTTTTTTTATCCGTTGAGTAAAATTTTACATTTTTTTTCCTAATCTGAATTCGACTAAATATTTGTTTACTCGAAATTTGGTTTCAGCTCAAAACTTTTTACTTAATTTTAAATTTTTACTTGACATATTAGCTTTGTGTCTTCTGCATCAATAATCGAACATACGAAATGTTGCGGTGTGTTAATGAAGACACATGAGATTTGAATGAATTTTTTTTAAATCGATTTTACGCGTAAAAATGATGCAGTTCAAATAATGAGATTCTACTTTTTTAGAAAAAAGCATCAAAATCATTGATCTGTTAATTTTTTATCTTTTGAATAAGAAACGAAACATTCGAATGCATTTGAGAGTAAACTGTATATAAAAAAGTGTGCTATATCGCGAAATATTTTGTCAGTTTTGTTAAAAATTCTTAATGAAAATAAAAAAAATATTCAACTGTTAGACAAGAAACGGGTTATAAAATGTCATTGTAGGATGTGTGTGTGTGTGGTTGTTTGTTCAATAATTCTGTAACAGGTGAAAATATAGAGTTGTTTGTATTTGTATTTCATTTTTGCTCTAAGTCTACTGCATATTTGTCCGTTTTTATTTCTCGTGTTTAAGTCTATGATCATCAGACGTTATTGAGTTTACATATGGTTAAGTAAAAATGATTGGCTTGCACTGTTTGCTTTCCTATCTCGTTTACTTATTATTTAATTGTATAATTACAAAAAGGAAAATGCTTTGCTCAAATTGTGTGAGATTTGTGTTGTTTAGTGCCTTGAATGACATAATCTTAAGAAGAATTAATATAAACATAATTTATTGTTGTGGAATTGTTTTTCTCTTCTCTTGTTTGCAGTTGATCGTAATGTTTGTTTCTAATTTCTTAAAAAAACTGTATTGGTTTTTGCTGCTGCTACTCGTTATCTTTTCGATGATGACTTCAGTCGTTTTCCTGACATATATGCAATTCATCATTTTATGTCACTTTATAAATACTTATGCGGTATAGTTGATCTTTGGAAATTTATAGTTCATCTAGTTCAGGTATTGTTGTCTCAGTTCGTTGTCCGTACATGGTTGATAATTTATCAAAACGAGGTCCCCAACGCTCCAAGCAATCATACTCTTGGTCTTCATCATCAGTGCCTTTATTAGATTAACATTCATTTATAAAAATGTTGCGTTACTTTTGTTTGAATCAACTTGATTTCACATTACCTGATGCTAATGAACTGAGTGAGCCAGCGGTGCTGCCGCCACCTTCATAGGCATAATTTCTCAAATCGTCGAATGGCGGAGCATTTGGATCAGCGTCGGCTCTCTTCTTGTGTTCATCAATGAACATTCCAACATTTGGCTCTTGATTTGGACCCAATGTCATTACCGGATCTGTAATTGAAATGTGAAATATTAGGCACCATTTTCATGGTATTTTATTTAAAGTTATTATTGTTACTGTTATTGTTTTACATTCATAATGAAAAATCATAAAGCACTTACACATGATCGGCATTTTACAGTTGGTTAACTCTGGCATCGGACCACCAATGGGAATTTGTAATGGTGTGATGTCGAATGCTGTCATATCATCTTCGCCACCACCTTCATCATCGTAGTTGATAATATTTTCTCTCACATCATCATCGGGACCTGGATACTTGATGTGTGCTTCACGTCGTCGACTGTACACAACAAATATGAGCACAAGGACTAAACATAAAAGAGGAAGAAAAGCAACAATTAAAAATTGTACCAAGTAAACGAGTAAAAATGTTCCACTCTTTTGTCAATTGAAAGCAAAAACGAATGGAATTGTGAGCGTCAACTTGAATTCCCATGAGCTCGATGAACTTTTTCAATTTCATTTGTAACTCGTGAAACAATTAAATTTCCATTGTTTTTCAATTGACCAAAGGTTTCACAGAGTTGATAAAGTGACTCTTATGTGTGCACTACTAGAACAATGTAGAATGTGTACGTGCAGACCGATTCGTGCAAGAAAAAAAAGTCTACGATTCACTAACATCTAAATGACATTTACACGGTCAGGAAAGTTTTTTTTTTATTTTACAATTGTATTTTTAAAGTTACTTATTGAAACTTGAACATGACGATAAAAAATACGATAATATCACTTAATTTTTTTTTATTGTCAACGCTTCCTCGATCAAATGTTGTTTTTGTTATAATTTTATCAATAAAAACAGGCACTGTAAATTTATAAACATAACTACTTACATATCAGCGTGCTAGCACAAATAATAATTGCAATAATGAAATCTCTGGATGGTGTCAGGACACCAGATGCCAATAGCTCCAATTCACAGTTCATGCCAGTATAACCGAATGGGCAATCGCATTCATATTTCCGTGGCGGATGCAAATCCTTGCAAATTCCACCGTTTTGACATGGTCGCCACAAACACTCGTTTTCGTTAATACATTGCGAACCGGACATTTTAAAACCAGCTGAGCAACTAAAGAATTGACAATTTTTGTTTTATGTTTTAATTCAAAATTATGAAAATGAAAATGTAAAATGCCAGTAAGAATACTCAAAAATAAAGTATTCGCTGCCAAACGAAATGAAAAACAAAAAAAAACAGAACATAAAATAAAAAACAAAAATAAATAATGAAATAATTCTCATATATAAGCAGTTGTTGTTGTTTATTGGTTTCGCTGCTCGGCGTTGAACTCGAATGTGCGAAATGGACCCACAAAACTGGTACAATCAGTTGTGTTGAAATGACAATCTTTTCTCGTTGAAATTATTTGGCATTTGTTTGCCATTGCTTTATTGAAAGTTTCGGTTGGTTTTTGGTGCGTTGTTTGTACACATATTTATTTACAATGTACATGTGCAGTGTAATTAAACAAATGCTATATCTTGCAATCACTTTAACACAATTGGAAAGAGGAGAATATACTACCATTTTCATTTTTGAAACATAAAAGAGCAACTACTTCTGAAAATGATTCAGGATACAGATACACACAGTAATAAAACTACAAAAAAACTACAACTAGATCAATTGCAAGCACTTACTACAAATCACACCGAATTTGCGTGGCATAACATAAATTTAAAAATCGTGCATGTCGTTTGAATTTTAATAAATGTGTTTTTAGGAAATTACAAACCAGTTTCACTCTCAAGAAAACTGGGAGAGAAGTGAAACTTTTCACATGCACAATTTATATGTTGAAAAAAAAAAAAAAAAAAAAAAAAAAAAAAACTCAAAATGATTCATGAAATCTTGCACTGAGTCACAACTTTTCGTCAGAGATATTAAATTCGTGTTTTTGTGAAGAAAAAATGGATGATGAAGATAAAGTTCATTTTAAATTACAATTCAAATCCAGTACAGTTTGTCAAACTGTAATGGAACTTATAACGATTTCTTTTTCCTATGGTAAAATTGAATAAATGCGTCAGCTTCATTTCTAAGAAGATTTTTTATAATTTTTTTTTTTGTAGTAAACATTTTACTTGTATTACTTTTAATCTTTTGTACATTATATCACATAGCGTTTAAAGTCTAATTTGGAATTTGATTGAAATATCAATTGCCTCTGTTTTCATGGTGATGTAAGTAATAAGTATATAAGTAAATTCCAATCACCAACAATAGGAATGATGTGGCAAAATGTAAAATATTGATGGAATATCCACTTTGATTGTATCCAGAGTTCTCGAAGTGCTCGTGTTGACCATGCCCATTCAACCTAAATTAATGAGTCATTCGATGCGGTCGAAAGAAAAGAAGATTCGATAAGTTGAAATGCTTGCTTTCATTGCTGGAAATATTTTATTATGTGAAAACATATGAGTTTTATGCGCCATTTGTTGAATATTAGAAAAATCTCTCATGCTTTTGTTTTTTTTATTCTATCGTAAGAGTGAGTGAATGTGTTTTCTTTAGATTGCGAAACGGAGTCGATTTTAATTTTAGTGTTTCACTCATGCGGTTTTATTTGTTGAATCAAAAGCGTACAATGTTCAAAATGGACGTTGGTTAGAAAATTTGCAATGAAATGATAATGCATGCTGTTATTCATGTTTGAGAGAACTGTGACTGAGTACACATTTACTTCATGTGTGTTGTATTTCAATGAACATTTTCTATTAACAAAGTTTTCCGATCAAGTTTCTCACGATAAATCAATTTCAGTGGCTCGGTGTATTTGCTTGAGGAGAAAATTTAATTGATTATCGAAACTCTTCCGATTATGACGCGCTTATTACCAAGATATCCATTAAAACATGCATCATGTTTCTTCGATTCGTGCTGTGTGCACCAAATGCAAGATTTCCAGATATAAATACAATAAAATGAAGAAAGTAAAATAAATGTTATATGTTCATGATGATGAAGTAGTTGCAACTGAAAAATGATGTACGATGGATAATAAATGCAATTAAAGGAGTCTACATCAGCGTCATTGCTGCATTAGACGCTGACATTGTATAATTCGATGTGTAAATGTGTGTACTGTACATGATTGTGTATGATACATTATTCAGATAGATGCATTCTGACAACAATTACAGATATACAGGAGGAAGGGTTGAGAGAAAGATTTTGGTTGTTGTTATGCTCACTTAAAATGACGAGAAGACAGACAAGAATTGCAGCCAGAGCACCCATGCTAAGTTTGAGCGTTTGACCTTCTTGAATCGATTCACAGTTTTCACCCCAGAAACCGTCAGGACAAATGCAACGGTAGCGGAATTTTGGTTCCATATTGACACACACTGCTCCATTTAAGCATGGCAAATCCAAACATTCATTTCGGTCCGTGCATCCTTTCTGATCAGTTGACATAACACGACCCTCGCCACAACTGAACAATTCAGCAGTTTTCGATTTTCACATTCGAATAATACCATTATATTTTTTATTATGTTGGAGGGGCAGCAAATGGTTGAATAAAGAAAAATACATAATATATTTATTTTATTTTTTTTTCAACATTAATCAATGGATAAAAACAAAAAAAAGTCAATCTACTTTATTTTATTAAATTCCTGTATTTAGCCACAGAATATAAATCTCTTCATGAATTTATTAAGTTAAATATAGTGTATTTAAAAAAAAAAACTTGACTGAATCTTTTGTCATTCAATTAATTGAATTCATATGGAATTCGTCGATAGCTCGTTATTTGTATTTTTTGTCTGTTACAATGAAAGAATCATCGAAAAAAAAGCAAATGTTTTTATGTATGTGCGTACGCAATTTGTGTAAAAAACGATTGTCATTTTGGCAATGTGAAACTACTCTCTTGCTCGCCAAATTACCCACCAACAAAAGAAGTCCGCGTTTTTTGTGTGGACATTTTTTTGTTTTGCTTTTTCATTGTTTCTCAATTTCGCATCGGGAAAATTGAATGAAAAGACCAGATTTGTTGATGTGTAATTTCAGAATAGCAGAGAAAATTGCCGACAACCGAATTTCAACAATGTTCTTTTGATGTATATGTATCTATCCGAAGTTTTTTTCTTTATTTATTTCATAAAAACTAAAATTGTATATGAATGAAAAGGCTTTGCATTTCATGTTAATGTTTGAATGAACCAAAACAAAAAATATATATATAAACGTCACTCTCACCACACGCGCTCACCAGATAAAAAAGCGTAACAATATCAACCACCAAAATTAGACAATAAAAACGGCACACGCGAACAATGAAAAGAAAAATGTTGTAAAAAAACATTTTTTTCATCTGTTAATTTTGTTGTTTTTTGGTGGTTTCGAATGAAAACAAAATTGCATTAAAATCTCACTTGCTGCCGAAGCTGTACACAAATAAAATGAAATAAATTATGAAAGCCACACTGCACTAATATTGAATCAAATAATGTTTCAAAGCTCAAACCAGGCGGAAAAAACCAACTGGCAAAACAAAAACCAAAGCAAAAAACTGACAATAACTGACAAAAACTGAAAAGAGAAATTGGTAAATGAACAAATGAACACAGCGCAGGTTGTGCAAAAACAAAAACAAACCGAAAAAGAGTTCATGCAAAACGAACATGTTGTTCAAAACTCAAATTTCGAAAAAGAGAAACAAACGCATAGATAACGCAAAAAAGTTAAGGTTAAATTCATAAAACTGTGGCACAATGAAGTCAAATAAAGTACTGAACAAGTTACAGCTTGTTAATCCAACGATTCGTAAGTGATATTTGATGGGCACCGACCGATGATGATACATATATCAATATCAAAATATATTAAATAATTTGAAAGTGAGATGAATAAACTTGAAAACTAATGAATGGTACTTGCTTTGCCTGGAGCATAACTTAATTCACTTTACGATTAAAAGTTTTTCAGTAAACATATCCGACAAAAGAAAGGAGTCATGTAAATATTTGTTTCAACCCATGTTTTAACGTATTCACTAAAAACATAGCTAATATTTGTCGATACAGACATTTTAGTGAAACCCTTTCAATCCAATTAAATTGATTGTACTCATTACTATCAAAAACAATGTCCTTTTTATAACATCAATACCATTCACAAAATCGATTACATTCACCAAAATTGATTCAATATGCTTTTGTGTTAATATTTTTAATGTATTTTGTTAATGTGTGTTAATGTAGATTGTATGTTTTTTTATTGGGTGAATAAATTAGTTTATTTCCGTTTAAATTACTTTAAAAAAAATGCTGATTGTATTGTTTTTCTAGCACAAACATTGATTGGCTTGATGAGTCTGCTTATTTGCGTATATATTTCATTATTAGATTTGTTTTATTTCTGCGTTTGGATTAAAATATAATGTTGTGTATGGGCAAAAAAAAAAATATATGGTTTGTTTACTTACGTGCACTCATATTCATTCCACAAATCAATACATTCGAATGGATCGGGACAAATAACATTTGAACAGGGTTTATTTGACGGGCAATTACGTTCGAGATTTCGTGCCATAGTCGCTTGACCCCATTGGGTGCCGTTCATTGCAGGTGGCAATGGTAAATGTTTACCTTCCAATCTATTGAATAGTTTTAAAATCATTTATTATTATTTTATTCAATGCTACAGAGAAAAATGCCCATATTTAAACCAAATGTTGATACAAATTAAATAAAATTAAGTTTCATTTACCTAATATCATCCAAACAACTTTTTTGATAGTCGGCATATACTTCGAATGTTCGAACGCCAGTGTATTCAGCCTTTCCACCAGCATAAACACCTTCCTGTTTGTCAACAAATAACCATTGATGCCCTTCAAATTCGAATGTTTCGTTGTAACGTCGACCTTCACCGCCATCGAGTTCAAGCATTGCAGCTGATCCATATCGATTAACACGGACTACATGCCATTGACCGTCATCAACCAAAACCGCATTAAGCCATAAATCTTTCTCTTCCGTTCTCAATGAGTTCAAATTATAACGGAAATGCAGACGAGCATCTTTAATTTCTAAAATGCCATATTCACGATTGTGTTGATCACTCACTCTGAACAATTCACCGTGTTGTTCGCGTGTACGGAATCTTAGTTGAATTTGTGTATTGAAACGATCTGGTTCAAAGCTCAATGCATATTTTACATAACTTTGTGCTTTGAATGTGGTCGGAATAGTTGGAATATTACATGATGGTCCAGTCCATCCTGGTCGGCATTGACAACGTGCTTCACTGAAGCTTCCAATGCATGAACCATGCTCCCAACATTTTGCTGTTTGTTCACTTTGGCTGCATACGTCTTCAGTTTGTGGACAACCGGCAACACTATTTCTTGACAATCCTGGATGTGCTAAATCGTATAATTTACTGTTATGCATTAAATTGCGTATACAACCATCGAAACCTTTTCCCGTTGGCATATAATGCCATAAATACATTTGTGGATCGAATTGTTCACGATACAAACCGCCAATTTGAAGTGGTGCATTTACATTTAGGTATTCATTAAATGGTGGTATTGTTCCACGTGCTTGACATGATGAATCGTCAAATTCAGGCGGTGAACCGTCTTCCATTTCTGATACTTCAGCCGACTTACAATAGTCGACAACCATTCGAACGGTTTCCGTATCCCAAAATATATCCAATCGATGCCATTCACCGTCGTCCAAAGTTTTCTTTGTTTTAACTTTCAATTCAAGCGTACCCGATCCGAAATCAATCAACATTCTTGGATAACCGCGTTCCATTTCCACTGAAATAAAATCGGAAACAAGCAATTCGTCGCGTTCAGGCGGTACAATCGGACCATTATAAATTAAAAGTCCTTCAGATTTTCGTGTAATGAATTCAAAGCTCAAATGTGAATGATCACACATTTCAAGTGGTGGATACCATGCCCAACCAGTTCCGCGGAAACTTCGTGTTGTTTGTTGACAACGTGGACCTGTATAGCCTGCCGGACATGAACATGTCGGTCCATATCTTGTCTCCACACAACGCCCGCCATTGTAGCATAAATTATTTCGACATGATTCGGCTTTGGTAAAGTTTCTAGCGCCACAAGTACAATCCGCCAATACGTCAATTCGAATACCAACCAATGCCGTTTTATTTGCATTCACCATGTATGGCAATGAACTGATATCAAGTGTATTTGTGCATGAACCTTCACACATTTGATTTTCGTACAAACATTCATCGATGCCAACCATTGTGATATTAATTCCAACATCCTTTTCAATTTCTTCGCGATGCATCAAAACAATGCCATTCAAACGGACTGGTTTATAATATGGTGAACCATGGGCGGAGAATCGGACATCGGTTAGTGGTGGATGCTTTCTACGCAATTGTACACTAAATACATCGACATTTTCACGCTCTGTATTCAACAAATCAGCCAATTTATCCTTGAATTTATCTAATTTACTTCGTGATAAACTCTGTGTTCGATAATTCCACACACGAATGAAATCTTCATCAGTTATGCCAGCTATTCGAATTGAACCGGAATTGACTACAGCTTCGTGTGGTATTTCACGTACCGTTACTGTTACATTTGCCGCTACATCAGTTTGTGTATGTTTTCGATCATAAACTTTAAATCTCAAAAAGTATGTTCCTTCAGGTGTGTTTTGTTTCATTATTATCATGCCAGTGTCTTCATCCAATTTAAAGTGCTCGTGCTCTTGAGATTCCCAATAGAATTTTTTATCCGGCAAATCCCAATCATCCAAATCGTACACATAAACACGACCGACTTGCGTATCCGGTGCTTGCCCTTGATAATTGTATACAAATATTTCTTTCGAACCTGGTTGCATTTTATTATCATTTACATCACCAATAATCACAGTTAGCGTACTCGTACCAGTCATTGCTGGCGTTCCATGATCTTTTATTACAATTGGAATCAAATACTCCTTTTGTTGTTCACGGTCGAATGAACGCAACGATGACACAATTGCCATACCATCACCATTTGCACCCTCTGGAATAGTGAAAGGAAATTTTTTTTAATTCATTTTTATTTATGATATTCGTTTTCCATATATTTCAAAATAGATATAAATACTAATGGTTTTGGACTTACTTTGATCTTGTTCAACTTTGAATGAAGCTCGAATGATATCGTCAGCGCCAGGATCCAATCGGAATTGGAATGGTGGTCCATTGCTCTTCGATCTATCATCATCGTCAGTAGCTAAAATTTCGACTACTTTTCGTGGGGGAACGTGTTCGGGTAAGACGGGTCGATAGTCTTTCAGGAATTTTGGAGCATTATCGTTGATATCTTGTACAATCACAGTAAGTGTAGCAGTGGCCGTTTTTGGTGGTATACCATCATCAATAGCCAATATTTTAACTTGATGTCTTGGGATAACTTCACGGTCCAAAGACCGTTGAATCTTAACAACACCTTCTTGGTTAATTGAAAATTGTCTCTGTCGATCGGATGTCCGGTCAATTGCAAATGATACCTTACTCTTTCCACCTTGATCTGGATCAGTTGCAACAAATTTCTCTAATGTTTTGCCAACTTCCGTATTTTCATAGACTTGTACTTCGATGTTTGCTCGTTCGTAGACCGGTTTGTTATCGTTAATATCGCGCAATTTGACAACAACCCATGAATAAGCAACGTGATATTTATCATTATCGTTATCTTCACCTTTGTCATTTACTTGAATTCGGAAACGGAATCCATTGCTTTGTAGTTGATCTTCATAGTCGAGTGGTTGAACAATTTTTAAACTGCCCGTACCATCATTGTTACGCACCATTGTAAATTTGTCCGCACCATAACCACTATTGTCAATCACTTTGTACTGGAATTTGTTTGTCTCGTCTTCATCATGCACAGTTACCGTGAGAATAGGCATTTCCGGCAAATTGGTACCATCTGTCTCATCGACCTCTGTAAACCATTCGTCTTTTGTGAACTGTGGCGGCATATCGTTTATATCTTTAACTCGTATAGATGCTGTCCCCGTCCCTTTCAACCCCCCACCATCCATTGCCACAACTTGTATTGAATAATCTGGTGTTCGTTCACGATCCAAGCAACAAACGGCTGTTTTGATAACACCGGTATCGGGTTCAATTTCAAATATTGGCGAACCGGTCTCTTCTTCTATCACATTTTTCTCAATCGAATAGATTAATTTTGCATTTGAACCTTCGTTCGGATCATCATAATCCACCGCTGTCATTGTCATCACTACCATTCCAGCTGTTCCATTTTCGGTGACATTACCGAAATAAACGCCTTGCGGGAATAACGGTGCATTATCGTTGATATCCTTTAGATTCACTTGTACATCAGCATATCCAACAAGACCTTCGCCACCTTCATCTTGTGCAAAAACAGTGAAACGCCACTGAGGTCGCCCATTCGGTTGATCTCGATCCAATGGCTGCAAAAAAAAAAAAAAAACAGAGCAGAGAATACATTTTAACAATACGAACTAAATTGTTTGACAATAAAATCAAATTTAATGTAAAAATCATGTTTATAATTTTTTTTTCTGGTTTTGGTTGCAGAACGGAAATTAATTTCAATATTCGATTTGATATTTGTTGCAATAATATTTTGTTTCGTTTGCGTGTACGTGCGTCCTAGTTTGATTGTCGTCACATTACAAAATTGAAAATCAAATGAACCGATGATATTGCATATAACTATGTTCGCGATAGTACCCCATGCTGTGTGATAGTAATTTTTACATTAGCTTACAAAATAAACACTTTAAAGCTTCTAAGTGTTGAAGCTAAGTTGCCCTCTTTATATGTATTGAAATCAGCGTGACACACTTCATTGCAAAACTTATAGGTTCCGTTCAATGTGAAAAATTACATGAACTTCAATTAATTTATATTTTATTATTATTATAATTTTGAAACACTTCAAACACATTTCAATATTTATAAAACCCGTTATCAAAAATCTACCATAAAATGTTCTCTTTCGACTTGTCTCGACGCCTGTTGTCACTCGAATAGCATTTCGAGATTTACATTTAATTTTAATTTAATTTGCGTGTACTAAATAGCGGCATCAAACTGAAAAAAAAGGAGTCACATTCATTTAATCGGATTGGTAATTGTGTTGGTGGTGGGTGTTCAACACTCTAAACAGTTGGCGGTAAAATGACAGCCGCACCAATGTGACTGATATGAAACGTGTGCTCATGACAATATTTCGTACAAAATGTATGCCTCGTTTTAATTGAAATAATTATGTCTAGGAATGTGATGTGATGAAAATGGATGCCATTTTCATTTTGATTGGAGCTCAAGTGTCTGTGAAACAGCACGTGCTGTCGCATTTCTTCCCCAGTGTAGTCGGTGATAATCAAAACAATCAAACAAATAAGTATTTTGAATATTATTATCTACCGCTATTACTTGAAATGCTGCTGCTTTTGCACTGATTTTTTTCTTCTCGTAATTTTTCGGTTTAAAATAACTGTTGAACTGTTCACATTTCAGACTTGATAAAGAAATTAATGTTACGTCGAAAATTATCAAAAGTCGCATCCAAAAATGTCACTGAATATTAAAACACTGGAAATGCTATATAACGCTTGTGCATACAAAATACGACAGCAAATTTTGAACGAAATGAAAATTTATTGCGAATATTTTGTAGAGTAATTAGAAAATAGAAAATTTTAATTTAATTCTCCCAGCGCATTGCCGCTGAAATGGGTTTCCCACCAACGCTCTTCATATTTTTGCTTCTAATAGCAAGCATGCTCTCTATCTCTCTCAATTATTTTCATTTGGGGCTTAACGTGCACAAAATGCTACTCAATCCGTTGAATATTGAAAAATTACGAAATAGTAACACAAAATTACAATTTTCATCTGCTTGCAAGGAGAGAGGCAATGGGTAAGGTCTTTTATTTGAGAAAAATAAAGGGTAGCTGCAGTTTTTATTTGGCACGATTTTCCAATTGAAGAGTGCAAATGAGGCGCAAGCTGCTTCTATGTTTGGCTATTTAATTTGCCATTTTCCAGCTTTCAAATAGAAGCATATCGTTACTCCCATGTTAAACATATTTCAAATGTCTATGATAGAAATTTCCCGGTGAGTTTCAAATATATTCACCAGTGACTATCTCGAGTGCACGAACGTTTTGTTTTTCGGCCCAGAGAATTTGAAATAGAAAAAATAAGAAATAAAAAATCCGACCATATTTATTGTTGTACTTATCAAGGTGATTTCATCCGTACCTTATACAATGATGTTTTTTAGCATGCTCACATAATATGACGAATATTTTATAATTTTAGAGGAACATTTTGCACCAAAAGTCATTATAAACACACACTCAAAACGCTACGTAAAAACCCACCACTTAATGGTGATGTAGAAAGCAGAGAGGATTTGAGACAGAACGGAGAAAGAATTCATCGAAAATAACAAATTTCATCCGAGATGGAAAGAACAAAATTGCTTTTTGAAATATTTTACAAAAACAGCAAATCACTTTTAATCGGTTTATATAACTCACATCGTTTGCGCATTTTCCGATTGTATGGAATAAGGGAGCAGAAAATCGCGATTTTGTGTGGCTCGCATGTGAGAAAAGTTAAACAATGTAATGGTTTTGATGTTCAACAGTCTGATGCCATATCATTGAAACGCCTTCTTATTTTATGCCAAGTATTTCCATTGCAGTTACGTGCGCGAATACAAAAATGCATTACAGAATACAGCAGAGGCAGCAACAGCAGCAGCAGCATCTGTTTTCATTTTGGCATTATGGTACATAAACTTAAGCATTTCCGCAATGGAATATAATCCATAAAAACCGTGGAGAGTTTCGCTATAGACACTTTTTTTATGTATTTCTTTTTATTACAACAAACAATTTTCTGAAGCCACAAAAACTGTTTCGCAAGTCAAATCCTGCAATTTAAGCGGATTAGATGTTGGGTTTTTCCAACAAGCTTCCATCAAAATCAGAGCCTTCAAAAAACGATGATGCTCTTTTTTACTTAAATGATGCGTCGCTGATTTGGAACTCCGACTTCAGTCGAATTTTAATCGTTCATTTTTGTTTCTCACGATAAATAACTTGAGAATATTTTAAGCTTTTCTGATGATAAAACACACTGAACTTACCTTCAACACGAAAATTTCACCCGTCGTTCGATTTATATCGAATTTGCTATTAGCTGGATTATCTGGATCAATACCTTGTCCGGTTAAGAAGTATACAATATTTTGGACTCTATCTTTATCTCCATCACTGGCAGTCACCTGTATGGGTATGTATTTGCGTAAATGACAAAAAAAGTGGTTTTGTTAATATTTTTCCAAAATTAATTAATTTTTTTTTTTTAATTTTCAAAGTACCAAACATTTTGTTAACTAAAAAATCACAAGCCAAGCTAAACAGAAATTTGTTAAAAGTCATGCAAAAACCAAAACAGCGTGATATTATAATGTATAAATTTTTTCATCTAAATACCAACTGAAAACAATTTTCAATAAAATCACATAATATTGTTTGCAAAATGACATTTTGATGGCAAAAACCAAAAATGTGAACATGTAAATTAAGTCAGTGTTCAGTTGTGGGTCAATTTATAATGCTAGTAATTCAGAATTTACAGTCGGGAATGCGTTTATGAATGTATTAATCACAAAATTGAATTAGTCGATTTTACGGATTTCCTACGTAAATTCAATGGTTTGAAAATTTAAACAATTTCAATGGTTTCGTATGAATATTCAAACTGGATTTAGTACTTAAAATAAATTGTTGTCAATATTCCTGTGTGGAAAAATGTTTCGTTATTGATTGCAAAATTATAATAAACAATTTATTTGGACAATTTATTCCATTTATTCCATAGAACAATTCGATTAGCTTGTCCCTAGGTCAACAGAATTTTAATGTTCAAATATTTTACTCATTTAATTAACTATGCAAACCACTTTCAAACTTTCAAATCTGTACATGTTCAAATCTGTACATAGTCTGTACACTCTATTGCCATGTAAATATGCTCATCACATATCTGATAGTTTTCCATTTTTGACACCATTCGGAATTCACAAGCGCTTCAGAAATAATGAAATATGCTTGCGGTAAATCGATCGAATAACTTCATTATCATTTTCAATGTGAAAACTATTTTATGTCTTCAAAAAACAATGACATTTTGTGAATAATTCAAATCAAATTCAAGCATGAAGTGAAAAGCGAAAGAGGCCTACATTTGATATACTGTGTTTTGAATTGAATCTTTACACAATGGAATCATTGTTTTCGTTTCTTTCATCAAAAAGACGTGAAAATTTGATTTGTAATGAAAATATATCTTTTAATTAAAATGAAACAAATGAAATAATAATTGGCTGAAATGTTCCAAAAATGTTCTCGAATTTCATTTTGTCCAGAAAAACACTTTTGTGTGTGACTATTATTTTCAATTTTCATTGTTAACATCGCCAGTTTTTGTTTGTTGTAAATGGCTAAAACTATTACAAGTCTTATAAAGCGATGGAATTTTACCATTCGATTAAGAGTGTCAATTTATCTTTTTCATTTCGTAACAAAAGACGGATAAAGCTTGATAAAAGTTTCAATCCATATGTTACAAAATATACAATATCCTTATACATTTTCCACACACATATCTATATTATAAATTTCTTTCCGGCCTGTTAAAATGTCAGTATAATAAAATCAATCTCTTTAATGATTGGTCGTTTCGATAGTACATTTCGATTAAAGAAAAACGTAATCGCTCACATTGAGAAAGGTCAACCACACAATTTGCGGTAGATTTATTTGCACAATACAGTATATTAAGGGAAAATCTGTATTTTTGGGGATTTTTTTTTATCTTGAATTCAGAGCGTCAATTGATTTTTTTGCGTTTATTGTCAATTGATTCAGTGAGGCTTATGGAATTTCGTTTTCCTTTTTCGTTTTTCAATCAATGGTTTCGTTTAAACTTAATTTAATAGCTACTGTTACATAATTAGGGGGAGTGAATGAGATCGATTTCAATGTAACACAAGAATAAATTGTATACATTTTGATATGCATCTTCAAATTTCTCAAGAAAACTTTGGAAATTTGTTGAAAAGAAAAGGCTCGAACAATTTTTGGTTGATTGAATTGATGGTGTTTTCATTTTTTTTTGAGCGTATAGGTGTTTGCAGAAACTTTTTTTTTTTCGAATTGAATATATCAAATGATACGGTTTACTTCTATTGAATTAAAATGATACGATTCTGTTGAGCAGCCACTTAATTAGATTACGTACACGATAAATTAATAAAGAAAAGCAAAAGATAGGAGTTTGCAAAAAGAAGCACGTTTAAATTGATTCAAACAAAATGCTCGCGGCAATAGAGTGAATAGCTGAATGTGGCCATCGCATTTTTTTCGCTTCTGTTTGCCATTCCAAATATTTATTTTTCATTTTCTCGATTTTTTCACCATCTCCATCACTCTACACAAAATACATTTGTCGGATAAAATATTAACAACGTAAACAATCTTAATCTCAACACGAACACGTTCTCGTGTCTCGTTCTCACATCATATTATTTGAGATTGGAAGCTCGCGCGATGTTGCGATATGTTGAGTCTTCTTCCTAGTAAGAAAACAATCGCTACAAAAAAAGTCACACCGAAGTTTATTTGGTAACCTTTGAAGCTATCCATATCTACACAGGTGCTTCGATGATGAAACAGTGCGTTTCACAGCGATTTTGTTACGAATCAAGATTTTTCAACTTCCTGACGTTATTCATATTGCTATTATTGTTCACGGTTTTTAAACATTTCATTCATTATTTTTTCTCGTATGGAATTGAAGTATTTTCGCGTTCTTTTTTGTGTATACATTGAGTTTGTGCTTTGAATGGCTAAACAAATATTCGAAAATAATGAATACATATTGCCCATCATAATGGTATCTGCAAATGTATGTGAAAATATATTTTCATGAATGTATTGCCAAGAGTTGCATGAATAGATGCTCTACATCGGCCAAAGTACGTACTCAAGACGATGTACGTGTATAAACAAAACGTGCACAATAAATTTTCACTAGTTGATTGCAGCCAAGGCTCTTAATATGACATTTGACTTTCAAACGTTATGTAAAAAAATTTTTACTTTACAATTTACACATTCGCTTCTCTGCTTTTTGCCTGAACTGTATTTTATTTACGGATTAATTCGTGTATCTATGAAAAAAGAATTTTTATTTTCAGCTTATCCGACTATTTCTTGGTATCCACAAAAGCCTTGGTTTTATTTCAGTTTTACTATTTGAATACACGTACATAAACATATATTCACACAGTGTCAGGATTTTCCAGGCTTGTTATATTTCACACAATTTTTCCAACATTGCGGCTTGAATTTGGTGAAAAAAATGGAGCAAAGGGTAGAATACAATTTTGTATTTAGGTGCGGTTTTGCCGCATTTCAATCGCGGTTCAAGTGTTTACACCATTCATACAAATAGAAATCTTCCGCTATACTATACAGCTCTTTTTCAAATAATAGCAATTTTCTAGCATTTTTTCCCTCATCCGCCTCGGGATTTTGAATGCTCCGCATGAAATCATGTTATTTGTACAGATGCGTAAATTTTAATAATATTAACTAGGAAGATAGGAGAAAATCTTATACAATCCGGATGACATTGTAATGTTAATACTAAACGTGAAATGGATTGAAAACATGAAATGGATTGTATATTCGGAATGTCAATGAAAAAACCGGAAAATCCAATTATTATCGAAAATTAGGTAGGAAGTGTATTGTATATATGAATTGACATTTGTTACGCACAATACGAAAACGTACATGTATGTGTTAATAATTTTATACACTTATTTGTTTTTGATTTTTAAATATTGTTGACACTTGACGTATGTTCAATTATTGATTTTGGTCTTGAAAAGAGTATTTGAATTCATTAAACTACATTAATAATTTGAGATAACAACTGAAAACGTATTCATCTATCATTCCAAGTTAATTAGCTGTCCATACATCGAACAGATGTTAATTCTCTCTTTAAAAGTTTCTGTTCAATACTAATAATTAATAATATTGTGTATGTTTCACTGCTAAAACATGTTTTTGGTATGCCAGATATTCGTAACAAATGAAGCTAAGAAAGATTTTATCATCCGTACAACCATCATGTTATATGTCTAATTTTGAATGAAACCATTCCTTGATTCCCGTTCATTTTCTTTGCTTCATCACTTAGATTCCAAATTAATTTCATTAAAACGCGTCCAGGACTACAGGTGGTAGTTATATCTGAGTGAAAATCTTGCTTCAGCTCAAATGACCAAAATTAAATGATCCGCATAAACCTGTTTCTCCATTGAACATGCAGTTGTCACCTCGTTATGTAGATTATCATAATTTTCGTTTCAAATTACACTGGGATATTCGTAAACTTCAGTGAGTTTTGCAGACTGAAAGTGTTTGTGTGGCTGAGGAGACGACCTTTTTTTTTTAAATTGAATCGTTGGATGTTAAAAGTTCAGCGTGCTCCAAATTCTTTAGATTGTATATACAGAATCACTGAAGTTGGTGCAAGAAACTTAATGAAATTGATAAAATTATTGCTTTTATTTGCTTTTTCCCTATTCCTAACTATAGCCCGACATGTTTTTGTCTCGCCCAAATGTTGCAAAATGACTCAAACACAACGAAAGAAGCCACTTTTCTCACTAAATACAATTGAATTTTCTTGTGACAACGTCATTTCATATAATTCGTACACTTGCCAGTCACAAGGCTTGCATTAAGAACCGTGCACTGTACGCCGCATACAATATTCGTGTTGGTTGTTCGGTGTGCACATGTACCGTGGATGAAAACTTCGTTAAAATAATTTGCATATAAAAGCCTAATCAATGGTATGACCGTAATTAAAAGTAATGGAGTTTGCCTTAATTTGGTGTACTAAATATATGCCATGTGTATGGCACAAACTCGTGTTCAACATCAATATGATTACAATGGGCTAACACTTCTGAGCCATTGTTTGAATTAACGGCTTTGTGTGCGATACGGAAGAATAGAGCAACACTAGTTATTTTGAATAATAATATTTGTTTTTTTTTGTCAAGTCAGTTTCTTTTTCTACGTGGAACTTTTGAATGTGAATGTCTTCATTCTCGTCTAAATGGCACGTTTTGTTGAAACTTGCTGAAATCTGTGTAAGTACTACGTCAGAGCTCTTAATGTGAAAACACTTCGATTTAAATGAAGCAATCTCTTCAAAAGACAGCTACATCACAATTTGCTTGCCTTTGAATTATTTGCAATTTAAAAACGGGTGTTAAGTGTGTACATTCACAAACTGAGATTACGGAGGGCATGCATACATATAAATATGTAATTAAAAGACTTTTTTTTTTAAACGGGGTGTATTTATTCATGTGAAAGTGAGAATTGCAGTTTTAATTTCCAGTTGAAATGCTGGTAATAATATTTGAACTAAAACGAAACATCCATTTGTCCAACGGCTATTTGGTCGTTGTCTCTCTTGCTCTTTTTTCTATTTTCATTTAAGTGGCAAAAGTAACAGAACCGAATATGAATTAAGTAATAAATTTTCAAGGAAAACTCACAAGTGTATGAATATTATTATTGGCGCGTGGATTCTTTCTGAGTGGATACGTTTTTCTCTCTCAAAAAGTTTAACTTTATTGTCGGAATTAAAATGGAACAAACACCACTTGAGGCACTTACTGATGACACAATTTTGTAAAGAGCCAAATGAAAAATGCAAATGTTGAACATTCCAGGTACAAGAATCAAGTTTGTAAAATGAATTTATGGTTGAAAAAACATATGGTTTCTACTTAAAAATTCCCTGAAATTGTGTTAATGCGTTTTACCATTTCTAATGTTCATTCGTGTGCGTTGAGGGAATACAAGCATAAATTATATCGTATATGATGACATTGAGGACATCGTCAAGAACCAATTGCACTGTGAATACAGTAAAAGTAGAAGAGGATAATTTTTTATTGAAGTATGCAAATGTTCTGTTGCCACTTTTGACAAACCACAAAATGTCAAATTTGTGGTTATATTTACCTGCATCCGATCCGAGTGCTTTTCCTGAATTTCAAACTCGGAAAATTTGAATCTTTACACTTTGATGAATTTTAAGTTGAGCAGTAAAGCATGTCGCTTTCTTCAAGTGAACGATTAAAGCTATTTTTCATTCCTGAATTTAAGTTGTGAATCGGATGAGTTTTGTGTCATTTTCATCATCTAAATATTTTTTTAGCAACATTATGCATATCAATGTTTTCCATTAAGTTTTTAGTAACCAATTTCATTTAATATTCTGTTTTTTTGTCACACGATTTTCATAGCTGGTATGAGCTAATTTTCAATGGAATGGATGTTTTTTTTTTTTGTAGAAAAGACGAAAATCGATTGCAAACTATCATCAAAGCTACAAAGTGTTTTAAATTTGATTTTGTGGTAAATCCAACGAAACACCAAAATACCATTTCAAAAGTTGAGCACATAATTTTTAACGCTTTTTTTTCTGCACACTTTTTGCTTTTATCATGTACAGCGGACATGGTGTAAGGGAGAGAAATTGTGCCATCACTTGCAGCCAGATAGTTTCGAAATCAACTATATATTTGCATAAAATGAACATAAATTTATTTTATGTACCATACAGTAAATTTCAATATAATCTATAAATCATGAAATTTATCTCCATTAAATTGATATTAACGCGGAAAATGGCAAAATTATATACAATGTATTCGGTTTTCGGATAGAATATGCTATCAAAATATGATGATTTTCGAAGTGAAGTGAAGTATTAGATAAGTATAATGAAGTTATAGGATTCAATGATGCTGAAGATGAGCGTATTTCAACCATTTATGCAAGCACCAACAAGTAGTTGGTACACCGAGTGATACTTTCGTGTATTGAACAAAATATGTTGTTTGGTTAGTTAAATTCAAATTGAAATTTACAACTCACAATTTCAACTATACAATGTTGCATTTTCAGCACACATTTTACACTCAAAATCATATGCACTCGCTTCCTTTTGTGTGTATTTATTTATAAATCAACCGCCCATTGAATGCATATAATATACCATCAAGTGCGTTTCAATTAAAGTGCATCACTTATATTCATTTGATTTTCTCTGGAAAGCCCGAATTATGGCACTTTCCCATTTCGATATTTCAATTAGTGTCTAATTTATTCGATGAAATGAATATTCGAAAACTTTTGTGCTCAAAATCAATTTTCAAAGATATCAAATGTTGTCGATAAATTAAGTTTGATTTTTTGAATGATAAGTCCCATTGCAGTGCTTACAACATTTCGAAGCTTATAAACCGCGTTTCCAGACATTGAGAGGGGACGGATACACAAATAATTTTGGCTTATCGCGATATAGTTTTATTGTCACTAATTTGGTTGATTTCTAATTTTGGTTAGTGTGTTAGTAGCCATACTTTCTATCCATGTTAAACCATTAAAGAAAATGTTAGAAAGAGAATAGAGATAAGATAAGTTACTGTGTGAATCCAATACAAGGAGTTAGTGAATATATATTGTATTGTTTCAAGGGAATATTTTCTGGACCTGAATTATAGGGAATGGAGCTGAGATTTCCTCATCCATTATTTTGTAGTAAAGTTTTTCGGGAAATACTGGCGGCAAATCATTCACATCTCGTACGGTTATAATAATTTTCGTGTGATTTTCGTTGAGACTGTCTGACGCCACAAGTGTTAACTCGTACTACAAACATTTTATACGCATCATACATACATCGAAATCGAATAATTTATCGCCGCAAAGACGCATTTATCCGTTTTTATTATTCCATCGAATGAATTTATTTCAATTCGTTTTTTTTTCGTCGAAACAGCGCGCCCCCAAAATTGATCATTGTTGACAAAGCGAAGTTTTCAAAGTGCGTGAATAAAAAAAAAAGAAAAATAGAAACAAAGATAAATAAAAAAAATAATCTCAAAATAGATAATGTAATGGCTGCCACGAGACTTGTAGCCAAGCGAAATAATCAAAATTCATTGATACGAGGAAATTTGTATTCGACTAAAATAAAGACTGACGACAAAAGTACCCGACCCGTTGATGACAATGCCCTACATTTTGCTATTCATCACCTAAATACCGAAATCGAAATAATGTAGAACATTGATTTGGATTCAAAAACAATATCCTCTTCAAGACAACAACACAATAATTCATGTTGTCAACGCAAACAACATTTTTCACTGATTTTGAACGTAAATCAGTTTGGAGAAAGGTCTAAAAAAGTGATGGCAATGGAAGTGATTCGTGTGCCAAACAAGATGCTCCAAATGCACCAAACGCGTGGACACGTCCTTTTGACGTCTAATGTTTTTTTTATCTTCCACGAAATGAAAAAAAAAAATAACCAAAACGTTCGTAGTGTTGAGATTGAAAGTGAGACAAAAAAAAATTTGATTGAAGATTTATGTAGCCAAAAGTCACAAAGTTCGCATATGTTTCTACATCTTTTGTGTAGGTGCTTGACGGTCAACTCAATTTGTATGTACTTTTTTGTGAGAATCTCCAACTTCATCTTTATCCTTTCAAGATAAATTTTCGATGCGTGACTTTTACTCAAAATGAACTTTATGCCTGAGTTCGGTTCAATATTCTGTGTTTGTCTTTTTTCTTCCTCGCAATATTACCACATTTTCAAAGTCGTGAAATGCTGGTTACAAGGAAGAAATATTTATCTTTGGTTTTTGTAGAATATTTCAAGTCGATTTGGCGTCTGTTTTTCTTACTTAATATATATGAACCAAATACAAAAGGATGCAGTTAACAATTGATGGCCATTTTGTGTGAGAAAAAAGAAAAACATTTGGTGATGATTTATTGGCACAACTCACACATGGGGACGAAACAATGGAAATGCAACAATAGAAAAACAAATGAAAAATAACATACTAAAATGAAAACCAAAGATGTGTCAAAAATCAAAGTTTATAATGCCATATGACAATGATAATGATAAGAAGATGGCTACAGATTACAAAACAGTTATACCAAGGCAAATGAAAAGTGGGAAATGGCTAGCAAACACACACAAGTAAAACTCAAAAACAGTTTTCTTATCAAGGATTATCATTGACCTGTAGGACTCGCTTTGGTAGATTTCGATCATCTTCTTCTGTAATTTGTGTGCGATACGTTGGCCGTTCAAATACTGGTGGATTACTGCAAAAATGTGTTTGAATAACAAAAATGTTCGTGAAGTTTTTCGTTTCCTTTGAGTGTGATTATGAAGTCCCATGATAAATGGTAAATTCGAATGGCAAAAAATACTTACTCATTGACGTCTTTAACATGAATAACAACTGTTGTGTAGTTTTCCTTTAAATTATCGGATGCCGCTAAACGAAGTTCGTACTGTTCAACACACGCGCAGCAAGAAAACAAAATCAGAGGCAGAAATGTTCATGAGTTTACATTTCGATTAACATCCAATATAAACAAAATCAACAAGATAATTGAATAATGGCAATTTAACCGTTGATATAAAAGTCTTCCATTCCACTGAAAGACTTCCAATCATTTTGCTGCTATGCCCATTCACTGAACAAGTGTTTAAAACTGATAAATACAACCTAATTTAAAACCATCAACAATATAAATTGTGCAACCTGTCCGCACAACCACAACACCACAATGCTTTCATAAACGATTATTAAGTTTATTTCTCTTATCGTTTCCGAACAGTTTTTTTTGTTGCGTGGATCTTTTTAAATATTCACTGCCAGCAAATTAAAACACGCAACAACCAGGTGAAAGAACAGCATTTGATTGAATTTTTGCTTGTATTTGGAGAGTCCAGTTTGCCGTGTAAATAGACGAGGAAAACTTATTTATTTTGGAAAATTCGTAATTTGGACTGACCGTTGTTGTATCGAACAAGGGCTTTGCTCATTTTTTTCTTAAATACTTTACTTTTTATTTGAGATGCATTCAATTTTCTTGAGTTGAATGAACAGTGTTCAAACAATTAATTAAGTTTATGAAATTACTCAAAGAAGAAAAAAACGTTGCAAGTTTATATCCTTTCAAAAGGGTTTGAAATATAGTAACTATATTATCACCATCATTGTAAATAACATTTTGGCTTCAAACACAAAATTATAATAAAGCATTCTATTGATGAGTTGAAGTTAATTTTACAAAACTAAATTTTCAATTATTCTGAGAAACAGTGATTGTTCCTTAGTTGAATGCAGTTTCACATCACTAATATTTATCAATAGCCTTTTTACAATGGCCGTTCCTCTTGGGTTTCTTTAAAGCTTTCACTTAAAATATGTATTTTTTTCGTAGCAAGCAGACTGGTTCATTTAGATAACAGCTTTACAATAACGAGCTGATGTTCATTTTAATAAACAAACTTCTTGATAAATAATGAATCTGCATTTAATTATTCAATCTACGAGTTAATTTCTGATATTTTGGCATACAGCAGAATAACAAGCTCTTTGGTGCTTAATAAGCACTGCTTATGCTATATATAAATATATTCTTTGGAGTCTTATTCGATTTTTCTCCCGCTCTTCACGATGTTTTTGAGCTAGCAATTACTGAAGGCATTCATGATATTTTGAAGTGTGTTTCTGGTGTCATGATTCATTACGATTTCGTTGTCCTTTCAACAAATCCGAAAATAGAGTAAGAGTATATAGATAGAAAGAAAGAACATCAAAAAGCACAGAAAATTTCCCATTATGTGAAATGCGTGATTTAATTTTCCACATCAGAGTACATTTACGTCTGGTTCTCTCGAAATCATTATGCACTGCGAACCTTGTAAATAAAATAGAAGCAAACGGTTGTCGATGACGCGCACAGATGTATTCATTTACATGATGTGCTTTTTGAACCGTACTATACAATGAGCAAAACATCAAATTGATATAATTGTACTACGAATCAGACGCAGAATGATGAGGGAACATCGATTTAAATAATTGCACGTAACTGAAATTGGGCGCTCCTTCATTGTAATAAGTGAATTGACACATCTTTGACCTGACGTTACAAGATTAGCTTTCTATCACACACACTCTTTCTCTTTCATTCTTATTTTATGCATTAGTCCTTTTAGCACACCAAATTGCTATTCGTTAATTCCAAATTTTGCCATTTTTTCAGCACCACTTTTTTTGGTTGTTGTTGTTTTTATTGTCTGCGTGTTTCTATCGTCACCAAGTTTAATTTGGGTTTCGAGCGATTTTGTGGGTGTGGATGAACGAAAAATAAAGACAATATTACCAAAATAAAAAACGAATTAAACCCGAATAGACTCGACATTTTAAATAGCTAGACTATTCTATTAAGTCCTTTTCATGAAGATTGGATGTTTAATAAAAAAAAATTCATCTGAAATCAGGATCCTGCCTGCGGTTAGATTATAATGATAAACGAATTGAATCCATATTTAAAAAAAACATCCCCATAATAAACCACTGTCATCAAATACAAATAAATTTGTCTCCATAAATTAGTTTTTGAAATGATCCATGTATCGAATAAACATTTTCCATCGTCGAAATAACCCAAATAAAAAAAGAACAAAATCAAAGTTTTATCTGTGGATGGGAAAATCGCACATTTAAAACACGTTTACTTACTCGTTTTCTCGTTTCGTAATCAAGAGCGCCAGCGACATAAATCGCTCCTGTCATATTTTTCACAGCAAATGCACCACCTATGTTACCGCTCGTGATCTCATATCGAATACGCGATGCTGCAAAAAACATTACAAATGGAAAATATAAAAAAATCGAACAAAATATAACACACACATTCTATTAATTATGAATAATTTCAAATGGTTTTTTTTTTTTTCGAAAATATGATGTTAAATTATTCCTCAATAATTCATGATTCGTATTATGTATGCATTTTCATGTAACTATATGTCATTTCAACTCTTTTTTAAATATTCAGCTTCAGTTTTTGTCGTTCATCAGGGGCAAATTTGGGGTTGACTGATAAAAGTTCCTCGAACTCTCCAAATCAGATATTAGTTTTTTTACGATGCTTTTTATTGTGGTATGGTTTCTTTAGAAAAGAATTAATTGGAATGATTCGAGATATTTCCACAATCATTGTGGCAGAAATGAGTCCGAAATACAGAAATGTAATCTGCTTGACACTTTATATAATGCAAATAAACGAAATGAGCCCTTGAACGCAGTTTTAATCATAATTAAGGTTTTTGTATGCCAAAAACTCAATTTCTCATACCCTTTCATAAATACTTTTTTTTCATTTTATTAAAAATATTGCTTTCGGTATTTTCGCTAATCAAGTAATCAGTGGATTGAATTATAAAGATTAAATAATAAATCAATATCGTCAGCATAGTCAAAATTTTCGAATGTAAAATGAATGAATGGAATACAAGCACATATTAAAGTGCTGTCATTTTAATATCACCGTTTCGTTTATGATTTCACATTGAAGTGCTCAAATACGCAAAAAAATGAATATTTATACGCTAAAGTCAACGCAATTCTCATCGTTTGGATTTATTTCTTTATGAGTAGTAAATCATTTATACGAAATGATTTTCGCGGATGACACAGTACTACAAACAAAAATAAAATAACCATCTCGAGATAAATCAAGTTATTTTTTTCAAAAACGCACTCAACATTGATTGCGTTCGATTTCAATTTCATTGGACGCACCAGATCGAAGCGTGCTACCAGCTTTCAGTATCAAAAGAAAATATACAAGTGCACCAAACAACAATCATTCATTGAATTGGAGAAGGAATAAATAAATAAACAGCATAAACGAATGGTGTTTTGAGAAATGAAAAAAAAAATGGAATTTATTTAATCTCGGTGTATGAATCGTAGACCGAGAAGACATTCTACCGGTACATACTTTATTATTTATTTGAATAGTGTCAATACCATTGACAATTCTTCGCTCGAATGCAAAATTTCCATGAAAACCCTCGAAGCGATTGTGAGCATTTAAAAAATGTGAATTGAGTGTTGTGTGAATAATCTGAAACTGAAGTTCGAATTGGCATTATTGGCATAAAGTGCAAAAATGTTCACACGATTTTCCAGATATTTCAAAATGAAATTCAACACATATTCCATGATTCAGGCGTGAATAAAAAGAAAGCGAATATATTTGAAGAAAGGAATGTTCGCTGTTAATGTCAGATTCAAGCGGTGGTCGTATACAAAGTACGTAAATCGTGTATTTTCCACTCGATTTTTTCGCTTGCATACCGTTCACTTTTTTTATGTGTTGAATAGATGAGGAGGAAAAGGCGTCAAGATTATAATATGCGGTTTGTTCGACAGGGCTCAGTATATTGGAAATTATAAAGTATGCAAAAAGTCACACAAAATGAATCGATCGTTTCAATGAGTGTTAATTCGATTACTTTTGAATAGGGATTACATTGTGTGGGTGTAAAATCGGTAGATTAAAAGTTTTCTTTTGCATGGCGTTTGAATGGAAAATCAATTCAATCTCTATTTTTTTTTTGTTAAGGTGAATTTCTTGTACCCGAAAGATGCGTGAAACTCATGACTTTTTCATACACTCTTCGATCATGGTATTTGCTGTACAAAGCCGAAAGCTCGTTGAAAGGCTATGAATCACAAAATCAACGAGGAAATGAAATAATCCAAAGTTTTATGATAGTAAATTCATTTTATGTCATCTCGTACAGTTTCACATGCTTTATGAATGGATTAACCGCGACTGAACTTTTATCACTATATACTAAGCATATATGAAAAGGCATTTATAATGCTACTTCGCATGTTATGATGTTAACAGAAATATAATACTGTATTATGTGAAATCGTGTCTCATACGAATTATGCACATCATCTAACTTATTTTATGCATGGTGAAATCATTGGATGTGATCTGCCTGCTAAGACTGAAATGCTATGAATGTAAAAGTATACTGAATTGATGAATTACTTTTCTCTCGTTGAATATTGTGAATTATTGCTGACGCAAATTGATATTATTTCTTCGTTCTCGGGAACGAGCAGTGAGTTCCTCACGTATATAAATAAATTACATTTTACGATAAAGCAAACTGTTGAAACTATTCTTTCGTTAAAAAATCATACTGTGATTTATGGGAAATCAATTTTCTTTAATTATTTTTTATATAAACAATGAAAAAAATTCAATAAATCAAAAAATTTGTCGATTTTTCATCAAATACTACTTACATTCATCGTGATCCTTGGCGGTAACTGTAAGTACGGTATGCTGAATATCCTCATTTTCATCAACTTCAGCCTCATAAAGTGCCTTATCAAAATATGGTGGATTATCGTTTTTGTCAGCAATACCAATACGAATGAATTTTGTCACTGAAACGAAAAAGAAACAAAATCACGGTAAAAATTTATCTTTGAACAAAAAAATAGAAAATGGTTTTTTTATAGAATTCCTGGAATGGGATTTAATACCGAAAGTTTTTGTGTTATTCAGGTCTTTTTTGTGGCCATAAACAAAAAAGAGAATTTTGGTGTTGAACATAAAAAATTCAGGTCGTTTCCAGTCTATCATAAATAATGATCTGTTTTCGTTTGTTAGCAGCACCGTCAACCGTCGAAACCGCAGAATCTGCGGCATGTGCGAATGAGACACCCGCTGTATAACCAACTACACGAATACCGTCGTATTGATTTAATTAGTTTGTCTCTTGCTGTTTATGTTTACTTGGTGCGAACGCAAATTATTAGTATCTGCGTATGCAGTATACTGTGTCGTCAAGTTTACAGTTTTAAAATAATTATTCAACGAATGTCATTCAGATTGAACCGAAAAAAAACTTTGTTTTTATCATTTTTAACATTGAGGGTGAACCCAAACGAAAACCAGAACATTTTCGGGGAAATGATAAAATATTCACAATGATTTTACTGCGATGGGTGATCTGCTTCCCACGGCTATTTCCAAAAAATTTTCTCTATTCATTTGCATATGCAGCGTATTTACTGTGATTTTTTTTCTCGATTTTTTTCTCTGGCTGAGCAATAAATAACAAAATAAGCTTAATCGCGACTACCCGCCTGCGGACAATACATATTTAAAACATGATGTTATAATGTGTCATTCTCATTCAGTAGGGGGTAGACATGAATCTGACAATTGAAAATTTAGTGATTCATTTTCAATTTGGTAAACAATTTTTCAGTTTTTATATTTCAGATGGGGTAAAATGGTATCTGAACTTAATTAGTTCGGATCCTCATAAAAAAATTTCAAATACTCAAAAACCTTTGTATAAAACTTGCCAACAATTTTGGCCCCTAGGCCATGGTGTTTTTTTATTGAATGTTGTTGCTACCAAATATTTTAATGATTATCTACTCAATCTTGTTTTGATGAACGATTATACAGCTCAAATGTCCAGACAAGCAAATGTTATATATATTTTTGTTTAAATGGTCTGTCGCTGACAAATTTCGTTTGTACTTCCTTTGTAGAATTATTTTCATGTAATAATTTTCAGAATTTATTACAAGTGTCTCGAATTTTAAATTAAAATTCAAAGAATGAGTTTAATAAGACTTTTTATTATAAAATGTCATTAGAACTTTTCCGTTGGCTCATTGGATTACCAAAGGCGAAATTCACATGAACTAAATTAAACTTGAATATTGTATAATTGAGTTGGAAAGTGTTTTTTTCTCTCTTAAATTGAATTTAAAAATTTCTTTTGCCAGTAATCAGTAAGTTATTGAAGGAATCTGGGCCACTTGAATTCATTAAAGACATTTGAGAACAAAGTTGTTCATTGAAATGAGAATTTTTTTTTTTGACTCTTTCGTGGATCGAAAGACAGCCTATTCTTACAGTTTCAATTTAAAATGAACGTGAAGCAATTTCATTTATCAGTCCAAGTGATTGTATTACATTTCAAATATTATTTAATTCCATCATGGTCACCGGAATGATTTTTACATTTCTAGATAGAAAACACGCGCCAAAGAAAGAGTACGAAGAAACCAGGAAGGGTCAGGAAAGTATATTGAGCATTTGACAAAAGATTGAGTTCTTTGAAAAAATAGCTAAATGCAATACACTTTGTCGTGCACATTCATGCGATACACGATCACTAAATGGTCACGCTGTTCTTTTCAACATAATAAAATTATGACCTTACCTTATGAAGAAGCAACAAATAAAAGTGATTTGAAAAATTGAACAAGAGAAAATTATAAGAAGAAGAGGTTTTGAAAATGGTGAAAAGGCATGCGATTGAATTGCACATCGAAAATATGATTTATATAGTTAAACGTGCGCTTCCGTTACATAATAAAAAATGAAAGAAAAAAAGACTAACTGAAGCAATCGAAAACGATGTACTGCTCGAGTAAACCTCGAACGATGAAATTGTTTTCTTCGAACGATTCCATTTGTTAGAAGGAAAATATAATGAAATTGAAGAGGAGAATCGAGAAATAATGTCACCAGGTATGAGCTGTGTTGAAAAATTGGACAATGTAAGAATCGATTTTGAAGCTGAGTACAACATGTATTTTGGAATAGTTAATTCAGTCGAAGCTTTGGTGTGTGCTTTCAAAAGAAAATCACTCAAATACGAAAAACGTTGAGGATTTGCGTCTCTACTTCGAATTGGTTTTGTATTTCATTGTGTCAATTCTTATCAATGTCATCGTATTCCGTTTGAAAACTTAGACAGTTTTCTATCGAACAATGTGTAGCAAGAGCGCGAACTTTTTACTGCAAACAATAATCGCTTTCGAATAGAAAGAAAAATAGAAAGAGAATTCGATGAGATGGAATCGAGTTGAAAAATAGTAAGTATATACTTGTCTGCTGAAACTAATTTTGGCACAAATTGAAAGAACTTTTTTTTTGGTAATGAAGAGCAGTCTTGAGACTGAAGCCCTGAATTACTAAATACGACATTCGAATTTGAAGGAAAAACTTATAATTTTCGCTCATTGGCTGAAACAAACTTTTGAAATGCAGAACAATTTTATGAGCATTGATACTTGAATTATACCATCAACAAAAGACGAATATGATCAGCAGCAACAGCAAAAATGGTTAAAGTCAATAAAAAGTCAACAAATGACGAAAAACGAAAGAAACTTTTGGCCAAATTATGAACTCTTTCACTTAATGCTACAATCAGATGGCCTCATTCGAACATCGATTTAATAAAATCATGAGAAGAAGATAAAATGTTACTGTTCTTGTGATGGCTTCACATCATTAAATCAAAGCAATCTCAAAATCGTTCCTGATTTTTTCTTTAACGGTAGTACAATAGTCAATGACAAGACATAACCTATCGAATGATTAGTAAAAGGAGCTAAATAACATCCTATTTATCGGCGATGATTACAAACTCAAAATTAAACAAACAACATGCTAGCGACTCTTGATGATTCTAGTCACATTGAAGCTAATCATCACGAATAATTTTCAACCACAATTGAATATTTCATCCTTCAATTATTCTTTTGATTGCCTATAGCTATCTGTTGCGAATCCAATAGACATTTTTTCAACAATAATTATGCCAATTAATTTGAAATGGATGAAATGAAATTCTGTCAATAACAGCGCCAATATGGTGGTTGAAACAAGTTCAGAGGTGATATAACGTTATTGTCAAAAACAATTACAATATATTTTGATCAATTTCATTCGAAGAATGAAATGAATTGATGTTTGAGTGACCTTTGGCCTCAATATTAAAAATATCAGTTCCAACGAAAACATTGATGAAATGATAACGATAATCAATGCAGCATAAAAATAATTAATTGCAATGATTTTTCGTTCGAGTGTTTGGTTTTCGATGGAGTGGCTTTTGATTGTCTTTTTTCTCGGAGCTGATAAATTCAGACATTTTAGTAGCTTTCGTAAATATTGTTATTGTTCGAAAAACTTTTTTTTTTCAAACATTTTTAACTATAAATTATAATTCGTGCTCATGATTTGTGTACATGTGTGAGTCAGCCCGATTGTTGATTTTAGTAAAAATTTATTAAAACCACCAATAGCCATACATTTTCTCCAAAAAAATAAATGGTTTGCTTGTGTGAATGCGTAAAGGAAACGCACCCAAGGGGACGGAAATATTATTAATTCTTTTTTCGTGTAAATAACCACATATTTTTTTCAAAGTTATAAATAATATCAACATTTATAACTTCGAAAAATTTGAAAAGTCATCCTTTCTTTTATGGAACTTTCAATGAATATATTTTAAGAATGTTGAATTATTTTAAAAACAAAGAATAAATTCAGCTTAAGCCCCTTGCCAATAATACCTGGAACGTTTATAGTAAAATATCAAGCAAAAACATATCAAACTCTGTTTGGCGTATTTTGCGATATATTTCGACTGCGTTGAATATATGTATACAATAACATTTTCGGATGTCAAACGCCAAAAGCAAATGCAGAAAATGAAACAATTCAATTTTATACAACTTTTGTATAGGCATTCGATACATTTATTTTGTTATTTTTTCACATGCCATAAAAGAATAAATCAAATAAATGGCCAAAATAAGAGGAAAAATGCGCTTGTTCGCATAAAAACATGTAAACAAGATTTTTGGTGGTCATCAATTATTGGAACGTCTGTAAAGCACGTGTAACAAACCAAACTCATAACGGTGCTTATAAATTGTATGTAAAAGAATCATTCCATATAAACAATTGAAAATATTTTTTACTCTTGAATAATGTCAACTATCAAATGAATACATAAAAATTGATTTGAAAAGTACTTTTATGATATTGTCAGTGAAGCATATTAATATAATTTGGTTTTTCAATGTCTATCTCCATTGTAATTTTTTTCCTTCTATTTCAAAATGTGTCAAACGCTAATAAATATTGTCTCCTTGTTTGCGTATGATTTCACTCAAAGAAATAAAAGTACGAGTGATAAACCGAAAAAGAAAAAATTATTTGAGAAGCCAATTAGAGCATGTTGTTTCTAAGCAGCATCGAAATTGAAATACAATATGAATTCAATATTGATTTGGAATTCGCACTAACATCGTTCACTTGACGGGTTGCCCTTCGCAACATTCCAAAGATTATATAACAATCGGAATAGATAGAAAAATGGAATGATATCGAAAAATTCGAAAGTCGATATGGAGACAACATGAAATAGAAATTGGTGTTGTTCTACTGCAGTGCATATTGGCATAAAAAATGATTCTGTGCTTGTTGATTCTCGCATTTTTCTCAATATTTCACACTCATATTCATAAACACATGAACACAAACGAATTTATATCGCATTTCAGATTGTACTTTTTTTGGTGTGTGTGTTTTTTTATAGAAAAAAAATAAAATCGCGACA